TTTTTCATTTTTGAAATTTCATGTAGGGAGAGCGCAAATTTAAGTTTAAGAACTTGTGTCCAACTCCATTGTATATATTTTACTGCAAAAATATATGATCAAAATTCATAACGAGTTTTTGCATTAAGGGGAACATAAATCATCAACATTTATTGATCCCATTATGCACCGGGGAAAGGGTACAGAAGACGTAAATGCATAACTGAAAAACTACTGAAATACAAAAAAAAAAGGGCTAAAAAATAAAAATCAGCAGACTCTGTTTCAAATGGAACGATCACTAATGCAAAACCAACAGTCATTTACAGAACTGACGCTAGATGGCGTCCAAAAAAGAACAGATATGATGTGAATTTACACTAGATGGCGCTCAAGTCTGGTTATCATGGAAAGTTTAAGTGTTCAACTCCGTCGTTTCCTAAAAGTAACAAAATGCAAGGAAACAAATCTTGAAAGTAAAAAATTTACATTTCACGTTGACAAATCGCATGTTCAAAAATTATATATTATATGTATTACTCTCCTTACCAACTCACAACGTACAAGTAGTTCGTTTTTCTAGGGGTTGGGGGGGGGGGGGGGAGGGGGGAGTGTCTGAGATCATTTTTTCACATGTATTGAATTCTTTTGTTGATCTCTCAGAAATTTGTATTATTAGCATTTAAAGACCTTGCCTCAGAGAAAAATTAAAGATATTTTGCATAAATAACAAACTAGGCACAATAATTCCAAATACGAAATATTTTGTAAATATCTATACATGTAGATATGGGTCCTACGAAGCTCGCCTACTTTTTGCTATTATACCTCATATATCATTTATATTAGGTTATTTTTTCAAGAAAATTACCACAATTTCAGAAGAGAAGTGGAAAATTGCGATTTAATGAAAATACATATACATTTTTTTACCGACAAAATCTAACATTTTTTTTTAATTAATTAATTTTTTGGCCCATTCTCTATATTGGACTTTCCATAAATGGCCGATTTAACAAAGTTTGCCTAAATTCAGAGTAACAAATCTCCTTAGACATTTAATTGTTTTTAATATGCCTTTTACTTGGCCACCAATCTCCCTATATTTTAAGGTATTTCGAATTCCTTCAGTCGACACCGGAACTGATAATCTATAATTAAGCAACTTTTTTTAAAAAAAAATTTGAACAGTTTAGAATAAAGGCATAATTATGAAACTAACTTTTACTTGGATAATCGACAACAAAAACAATCCGTCGGAAGTACTTTTCTATAAAATCATTAGAAACCGTATAAAATGATTTGTAATTGAATTTTAAACTAAATTTTATTCTTATAAGGATAAAGACTTCAAATAGATTACTTTGGACGTCCATCGTCCGTCGGAAGACCTAATCGTTGCTTTGCAACGAGCTTTGCTCTAGTTCATATTATATCAGTGTTTAAGGACGTGAGCTGGAATGAGATGTCAAGGCTATCAGGAAAGGTCAAGGACATAACATTTAGGAGTTGAGTTGATGTACCAGTTTTAGCATGATGGAACCTTAGAAATTTTCAAAATAAAAGTTTCAAGTTTGATGAAAAATCTTGCAAAGTTCTTTCAGTTGACCTGGTCTTTGTTTGGACGCCATCTAGCGTCAATTCAGTTAATAACTTTTGGTTTAGCATCGCTGATGGTTCATTTTGAAACGAAGTCGATCTTATTTTAAGCCCTTTGTTTTGTATTTCAGTATTTTTGTGCAAAAATAATTGTTTTGAATTATTTAGCATCTTTTTTTTCTTTTTAAACCTTTTCGCTACTCATCCGCGCCTACCAATACATTACCAGTTATTAATTAACTTGTGCACCTTTCTATACTTTTGTTCTTGGTTATTTCACACTCTAAGCGATTCATACATTGTTGAAAAGTCATCACACCTTCTCGTAATACACGTATAACCAATACTAAAGTCCCACCCTCACATTTCAGAGGTGTTAGATCGTTTTCCCGGTAAAATATAAATAAAATGATATTTATATAAAATAAATACATCAAAAACATCCATGTAGGAATATATGTACATGTATTTCGTAATTTGCATGATGGTACATGTAATACATCTATATAAACACAACGTGTACTGATTAAACACTCTTTATTAAATTAAACATTGCAAATCAGTTTCAATATTACAAAAATCTATCGAGTCTAGGATTTTCAGTTGGTGAGACATGTTTATATTTACGTCACACGGGACAGTCAGTGACATAAACTGTAATCAAGCGTTAGAAGAGGAAATATTATTAGGTAAACACCTACATCAGTTGGTGCAAACTTATTCCAAAAGTCCAAACTTACGTCATTTCGTTGTTTGTCAGCAACACCTGAAAATCCAAGCTATCGGTAGAAATGTTCTAATTTGGCACAAAGGACTGAATACAAATTATGCGTGGTAAAATGAACTTCTAGAGTATGTTAAGATAAAACTTCAAAGATACTTGATACACAGAAAAATGCTTTAAAATCAATTGTTAAACATATCAATTTGAGTAATTTTGCTATTTTATCAAAATATACATTTAGAACAATGGACCTTTTCACAAAAAATCTTACGACTAAGATTAAAATTTGATAGCTCTGTAATTTTTTATTTGATGAAAAAATTATTTTTTTCTGAAGAATAATTCACAATATATTCTATTGTGATAAAAATATATTTTATGACGACCTTTTACAAACTAAGTCACTTTTTGGAGAACTGGAAAATTTTTGTCTCATTCGTAAGATATTTGTGAAAAGGTCCACTGATCCGTAAAATTTTGCATTTTAAATTTTCAAGATACCGGTAGTCTTCTTGTATACCAAGATCTTTTGAAATCGAATTAAAACTGGGAGTGTACATTATTTTTTTTTAAAAAAGATTTTCACATACATGATGTATCATTCTATTTTTTGTAACCATGGCAACAACTTTCATTGTAATCAAAAACTAATAAACAGAATTATGTATCTTAAGTAGTTTTACTATTTGCTCTTGTGTTGACATTTTGTTTTATTTTGTTGCTCTATTCCATTGTAATTACAAACTGATGCATATTAAGAGTGATGTGCACCAAACCTGTAAACAGAGCTGCCTCATAAATACACACACTAATATGAGAGGCCACTTTATGAAAAATGTCCATTACAAAGGCCCCTGTAACACTTTAACAATATACAATGTCATGTATTTGGCACAGAACTCGGTTTTAAAATAGTTTTCACTGTCGCTGTTAAGCCTGTCTTAAAAAATTTGATGACTTAAAAAAAAAATAGACTAGAGGTACTGTGAACACTGACATCGCAAAATGATACCCTCGCCTCCATTTGAGTATAATAACAAAGTCCATGTTTTGCTATGGGAAACCCAAATATCTGTCCAATCAGAATTTAAAATAGGAAGCGCACAATGACACTATGTAATAAAGATTCTGTGAAAATCTCATTAAATTTTATTCAGGAGTAGCGCATAAGAGATAGGTACCTCTAAATCTTATGGGCGTACAAATGTACGGATGGACACCCCCATCACTGTGTACCCTCCACTTTTCAAGCAAGGAGTATAAAAATTACGATGCTTGTGGGTCACAAAACTTGCCTGAGTAACTAAAGCCCTGCTGTTCTTCAGATTTTTCTCCTTTTAATTCCCATGAAAAACTGTGACACCATATTATGGCCCAAACTTAAGTCTTAAGGGTCTCTGAATCCATACAAAATGGAGATGCTTCAATAACACGACTAACATGGGCTTGAGATGCTTCAATATCAATTTGACTATCATGGTCTTGCAGTTATGGAGAAATGTTTTTCTTGAATACGTGCATTATGTAAAATTTAGTCCAATTTTAGCCAACTCTTACCCAGGGTCCATAATTTGAAAAAACAAAAATGAAACCAACAACATAAATTAATGGCTCTTTCGGGGTTCCTGAGAAGATGTTACTGTAATTTTTTTTTTTTTTTTACTAAACTAGCAAAAACATTTTATTGGAACCTTTCACATAAGTTTCATCTTTTCTGGTCCGTAGTTCTTGGGAAAAATATTTTTAAAAAAAATTCCAATACATTCCGAAGTAAACTTTGATCCACTATTGTGGCCCCAACCTATCCAAGGGGGTCATGATTTGAACACTTTAATTAGAATCAACATTATATCAGGATGCTTTTACGCAAGTTTTATTTTTTCAGGCCCAGTAGTTCTCGAGAAGAACAGTTCTAGAGGAGAACATTTAAAAAAGTCCATTTATTTCCATGTAAAATTTTGAGCCTCTACAGTGACCCCAACCTAATCCCAGACCTGGGGGGCATGATTTGAACAATTAAGACTCTTAACTACCCAAGGAAGCTTTCACATAAAGTTCACTTTTTCTTAACCCAGTGGTTCTTGAGAAGATTTTTAATGACCCCACCCTATTTTTGCCTTTTCTTGATTATCTCACCTTATAGGGGGGGCCTGGTCCTTCATTTGAACTATTTAAAATCCTCTTTACCTTAGAATGCAGATGCTTTGTGCCAACTTTGGATAAAACTGACCCTGTGGTTCTTGTGAAGAAAATGAAAACATGAAAAGGTTACAGAGAGACATATGCTGGACAATGGGTGATCAGAAAAGCTAACTTGAGCTTTCAGCTCTGCTGAGCTAAAAATGGCAAGTTTGGAGATACCAACTAATTCTTAGTTGACTAGAAAATATCATTAAACAAAAAAAGTTCCTGATATACAGAGAAGTGTTTTTGCACACAGACAAAAAAAAACCCATTTCTATGTTTACAATTTGTATTTCTGAATTATTCAGATTGTTCTACTTTTCACTTCTCCTTGTGAATTAGTTGCCATTTGGCTAAAATTTTATCAGCTAATCTTCAACACAAACTCTAAATATCAAAGACATAGGTATTAGAATAAATATATATATATATATATATATATATATATATATATATATATATATATATATATATATATATATATATATATATATATATTGTTATAACAGTAACTTGATCCGAAGAGCCGTATCACGTCAAGTTGACAGGCGCGGATCATCAGATCAAACGATACCCCTTAACAACTAGCAAAATATGATAAAAGAAAAAACTTTTTGGATCAATTACATAACTTTTATCCACTAAACAAACCATTTTGTCAAGGAACTTTTTGATGCGCGAGAATAAAAACGTCATTTATCTGTGTACTACGTCATCAGTTTCAGAGAGGGGTGATATGGATTCAGAAAACCACAGTGTGATTGCGTAAATTCAACAGTAAAACTGAGTGACAAACAGTTGGGTATATAATAAAGATGTTTATCCAGTTTTACTTATTGTAAATCTCAAATAAAATGAGCTAAGACAGTATATATGTATCTCTAATCCAATGACAAATAGTTGAGTAATGCACAAAAATACATGATTATAAACTTTAAAATAATTGTAAATCTCATAAATATTTTCAGGAAAAATCAATCATGGAATATTACTTAAAAATTGCACAAAAATATCACTGCGTATTTGTATCAATAAATAATGGAATGAACTTTGTCTGTAGACTAGCTATTACCGGAGGTACACATTGTACATAACAATGGAATGGAACTGAAATGATATGGATTGTCATTTTCTTACTTAGTGTTAGGTCATTAATTCAAGTAATTTCAATTGAAAACAAATTGCAACATAAATACTGTACACAGGGAAATTTTTGCCCCCATTTTATTTTCGCCCCTTTCGCCCTACTCACAGGTGGGCGAATTTAAAACGAGGCGAATTCAAAGAACACTGTATAATTTCTTAAACAGATCTGTGACTGGGTGAATTTAAAATGGGGCAAATTGCTTGCAAGTGTAAAAGAGCGAAAATAAAACGGGGCGAAAATAGCACTGTATACAATATAACCTCTCTCAATAAAGTTATAAATTAAACAAACATTGAAAAAAAATCATATGAGTAAGATCAGTACATGCAACACTGAAAACATAATAAATATTGGCTTAACTTTAAACACTCCCAACTGGGCAAGGAAGAGAAATAAATAAAGTGAACAAAAGCCCAATACAGTAATAATACATGAATTTACCGGAAGGGAAGATTGATAACATGTATGGTGTAAATAATAGCTATTGTTTGTTGTGATTAAGTACCACTACAAGTCTTCTTTGGTGAAGAGACGCATTTCCATGTCATCGAACATTCTGAGATAAAATAAAAATAATCATTAATGTGATACAGAATATTTATCTTCCCCTCCCACAAAGTGACCTATTGTTGTATAAAAAGTTACTCTTCTTGGTCTCTTTTAACAATTGTATTCATAGCAACTTTTGTATCACTAACTTAAGAAACTTGGCATCTTGTTGTATTATTATGCAGAGACAATGTGATATTTTCCATCAGGCCCCAATGGACCCTAACCTCTGTGGTCAAATTGAAAAGATTTTTGTCAGAAAGCCTATCCAGATTTATAGGCTCAAGGCTTCATTTAGAACATGAATATCATATCATACAATAGTCATGAGTCCTGGCCTATAAATGACCTTGATATTTGACCTTGAGTCCTGGCCTAGAAATGTCCTTGATACAGTGGCTGCAACATTATTGTTGACAACTTACACAAACGATCACATTACACAAACAATTCCACATTACACGTTACACAAAAAATTACTTAGGAGTGGATATTTTTTAAACTTATTAAGACTTAAGGATATCCGATCCTCAGCTGGGAACGATAACTCTTAAATCTAATATTTAATTTAAAAAGTTCCAAAATAAAGCTTAAAATTGAAATATTTTCTTGCAACAATTTTCAATTTATGCATCTCAATATGATTCAAGGTTCTTTGAAGTCTGAGAAATGGAATTATAGAAAGTTAACATTTGTACCCCACAAAAGTACAAAAATAAATTCACTTTTAGAGAAATTGAATTTACTTTAATCTAGCAAAAGATACCATTGCTTATTAGCATGTTCTGGAATTAGAAGTGAGCTGTGATGTCTTACAAAGATAAAACAAACTTTTTACACTATGTATTAAATAATAATTGGAGTAAACAGAAGAACTAAAAATACTGTATGTGCAAAACATGCAATTTCCTCAAAATGCCTGGATACCTATAGTTTTGAATCCCAAAATACGAGGGGTGATCAAAAAGTTCGCGAACTAACTCTATATCTATCTATCCATAGTTCAGAGCAAAATGAATTTTGGCACACATATAGTCCTAAACATGTGCTTGATGTAGCATGAGTTATGTTGTAATTTGCATCATATTTATGACGTCATGATGTAAAAATTACGTCAATATAGAGGTGACTGTGACAAAAATGGATGAGTCAGTCATACTTGAGCAGAGAACAATAATAAAGTTTTACGTAAAACTCGGAAAATCCTTCACGGAAATTTACAATGATTTAAATAAAGTATATGGGGAAAGTGGGCTTGCAAAAAGTTCAATAAATAAGTGGATGAAACGTTTTATTGATGGAAGGGAGACTGTGAAAGATGATGATCAATCTGGGTGCCCACTGAACGTTAGTACAGAGACAAATGTATCTCAGGTTGAACAGTCTGTGAAGAAAGATAGAAGAGTTACTATAAGAGAAATAGCTGATGATCTTAGCATGTCTTATGGAACTGTTCAGGAGATTTTAACGAGTAAGCTTAAAATGCGGCGAGTTTGTGCAAGGTGGGTTCCTCGCCTCCTGCTGCCAGAACAAATGAAGATGCGGGTAAATGTTTGCAAGTCATACATCAGTAGATATGCAAAAGAAGGAAATTTTTTCATGAATAGAATTATAATGTGTGATGAAACATGGGTACATTTCTATGAACCAGAAAGTAAACAACAAAGTTCAATTTGGAAGCATTCTTCCTCTCCATCACCATTGAAAGCACGTGTAACAAAGTCTGCAGGGAAGGTTATGCTCATTGTTTTCTGTGACATCAACGGAATTATTCTAAATCACATGGTACCACCTAAAACTTCAGTTACTGGAGATTACTATGCGTGGGTTATCAAATCAGATTTGATGAGAGCAGTAAAGAGAAAGCGCCCTGATCTGATACGAGCTGGATTCATTTTGCACCAGGATAACGTGCCTAGCCATAAAAGTCGGGTTGTGATGGACATCATGGAAACACTGGGTATAGAAAAACCTAACTCACCCCCCTTACAGTCCAGATTTGGCAATTTGTGACTTCTGGCTATTTCCAGTTTTGAAAGATAACCTACGGGGAGAGAAATATGAGTCCCAAGAAGATCTTGGTACTGCTGTGAACAAGGCGCTAAGAAGCATGTCACGTGATGGCTTGGATGACGTGTTTCGGGCATGGGCAGACTGATGGCAAAAGTGCATAAAAGCAAGAGGAGCCTACTTTGAAAAAGAGTAAACTCAAAATCCCACTTTGAATAATATTATGTAAGTTATCCAATTAGTTCGCGAACTTTTTGATCACCCCTCGTATATCTGTAGATCAGTTTTCAATTAGAAAATGCATAGCTGGTTCTTTTATTTGCATTTACCGAAAATGTATGTGAGATTTGATGATTTTCCCTATATAATATGATTAACTTTAATAATAAACTTTGAAGAAATACCATGGGTAAATGCATGTTATTCTGTGAAATCTGAGACATTTTTGTGAGCATTTTAAATTACCGAAAAAGCTGATTTTCTGAACCTGAGGATTGGACTACCTTAATATTTATTTTAGATTACAAATAATAATCTATGAAATTCTCCGACTTCGTAAGGATGTAATTTATGATCAATTGCTATATGTTCTATGAGAATTGAGATGTTATAGGTGCATGGGTCGTGAGTTTTGATTCCATTGGATTTTATGATATGCAGTTAGGGGGATAAGATAATAAAAATTGACATATAAAAATTAATTAAATTTATATCCATCTTTCCACTGGTGAATCTCTAAAATCAGTAAATAATTGACAATTCATTCGTTTGCAGAAATTATAAATATAAAAGTAAGTATCAGGGATAAACACTGATAGAAGAGACCGAGACAATCATGTCGGTAACATTTGCCGACTAAATACTTCTGTCAGCATTAAGAATTATTCATTACTTTTGTAAAGATATACATTTTTGATGCATTGATATAAAAAATATCTTGACTTGATTTAGCAGTAAATATAATGAGCATCAATGTTCAGAAAAAAGATCGTTAAAGATCTTAAATACGTTTATCATTAAATGTTACGATACTTTAAGAGAATACAATATTGAACGACTTACTATATTGCTTATTTACCGGCGATAATTAGTTTGTTCAATTATGTAAATCGTGCTGCATTTTTTTTTTAAAAAGCAGACAAGCGAAATGCTTGTTTAACAAATGCATTCCGATAAAAACTTACAAAACGAAATTTGCACGTTTCATACTGCACGACCATGCACGATTTAAACCACAAACGATTGAGCCTGATACACGCATGATCCCTCACGTTACACGAACGATCACACACGTTTCACGAACAATTCTACACGATTGGTTTGTCAACAATAATGTTGCAGCCACTGTATTTGACTTAGAAGTCAAAGTAATATAATTGCATTTTGGTAAGTATGTCTGTTGGGAATATAACTTATACTGACGCAGGTATATTTTAGCATGTACATATTTCATTATAATTTAAGGACCCTCTATACACTAGAGGAAAATATTTTTTGGACAATGAGAAAATTATAGTTTGTAAAGGTGTAAGTATTGAGCTTATCTATCACATTTTCAACATAGGGTACCTTGCATTTACCCCCAGGAAAAATGTTTATAGACGATGAAGTACATGTACTGATGAACATAAATCACTGTTGTTTACTTAAGTAGGCTAAATACCTTCAAATAATGTGTTCTATCTATTCATCTTGGCCTATTAAAGTGTTATAAATGCTTGATTTGATCACAAATTAAGTAATAAACTGTACATTTCCATTTATTTTATTTTTGATCAAGGGCAGATCACTCTATCTGCGTAAAAGTACCACAAAATCAGAATTCTCTAGTGTGCAGTGTACATAGGGCTCTTAAGACAAATGGTCTGGTCTTGGTTCCATTATGATCTTAACCTTTCACTTCAGTTATATCTCCTTTTTAGGCAAAAAAACTTGTTAAGGCTAGAACTTTATTTAGTGTTGACTGTTGGCTGACAATGTTTGGCTGTATGGATGTCACAATCAAAGAATACACCATCACCTAATTAATTCAATGGGAATTAAGACTCAAATTTTTGTGCACTCCAACAATACAACTTAAAGAAAACTTACATGAATACCAGCCTCTGACCTTTAAACATTCCTCCTCTTTGCTTGGACTTTTATTCCATTCTTTGTTCGTAGCACAACCCCAATCTTAATGTCAACCTCATGATCTGGATCCAAACTTAACTCATATCTGTAAGTACATGAAACTTTGAAGGATATTTTCTACTTTATGGCATTTGTGAGAGGACTACATGTAAATGTCAGCACTCAATTAGATAACTATTATAACAATAAAAAACTTCAAGAAAAAAGATGACCAAAACAAAATCTTTTAAAATTGATCAATTCATGCATGTGATGATTACTGATCAATCAGTTTGTATGTTACAAACCTTCGTAAAATATGAACAAGAATGATTTTCATTTCATTCATTGCAAAATGTTGTCCAATACAATTTCTGAAAAGAGGAAAATAAGAATACAGTATATATATAGTATAAAAGGAATAAATTAGTGGTTTATACAACATCTGAATTGAGTTCATTAAAATACAGAACTTCATTTTTTTTCTAGAAATTAACAGATCTGTAAGTCATGTACTTTGAAAATAAATACATGACTGTATAAAATCTTGAATCCTTATTAAAACTGTTTTATAGATAAATAATCTTTAAAGTTTCTGTGGATGATAAAACAGACAAGACAGGTTAAATCCTTGTAAAGAGGTAATTTTCTGAAAATTATCAGTTACATTCTTGAATTTCTTTCCAGTCTGCATTGGTAAAAATTTTCATGATGAAGATGGTCTTACCTGGGGCCTGCAGAAAAAGGTACGAAAGCAAAACTATCATTCTTTTCATTGTCTGGGGAGAACCTGTGGGGGCGGTATTCATAGGGGTCTTCCCATACTGCCTTGTTATGATGGAGGTTATAGATTTGAATTCCAATCGTTGTACCTTTAGGAATGGGATGGCCATCTAGCACTGTTTCCTTGGTTGTGACCCGCTGTATGAAGGTCACTGGGGGGTAGAGCCGCATGCTTTCCTTTATACACTGAGTGAGGTAATTAAGCTTAGATAGGTCAGCCCTAAAATCAGGAAACCAATCACACCATATATCAAATGATGAAAGAGAGATCTTCACTTTTCTATATATTTTTCTATAGTTTCAAATTTTACTGAAATTTAAATGTTTGCATACAATTATGACCTTGAAATGTCAAAAATTAGTGTTTCTTTAAGTATCGCTGCTTTAAACATTATAATTGTAGTGGAATAGGATATATATATATATATATATATATATATATATATATTTTCTTTGTTACATATTTTATATCATCAAAATGACACTGATATTTCAAAATGATTTTTGTGGCACAAATACTAAGGAACTGAGACATTCAGAAAGACAAAACAGAGGCACGTCTCCTTACCATTCTAAATCCTCATTGTCTCGCCCCTTCAGAAGATCGTCAATCTCCCGCTGACAGAGATCCTGGTGCTCAGGATGTTTGGCCAGCAAATACAGAGTCCAGCACATGCCACTTGTTGTTGTATCATGGCCTAAAAAAACAAAAAGTTGGTCGCATTAAGCAGACAAACGAACTACTTAAATGGCTCTTCAGAGAAATCTTATATTGAAAAGAAAATTTAAAGCACTGATGTGACATCACTTTGGAATGTACTTAAAGCATTAAGATGGATAGATTGTGCAATGAATTGCATTAGAGAAAAATAGATTTCCCATATCAATTTTCTTTTAAGCATGTGATAATCAAATATCGATATGTAACCTGTAGACAATGTTTGCAGCAGAAAGGGGAGCAACTTCTACTACAAACTTGCTGCTACTTCACTCATAGCTAATAAATTGAGGAGGAACGCCATATCAGAATTTTATTTAATAGACCTTTAAGACACACGTTTTAAGCTATGGTTTCAGCATTGAAAGACCAATATTAGCTCTTAATTATTCTATACGATTTTCCCCCCATTTTTTTCAGAGAAAATGAAAAAATGTTTTATTTGCAAATAGATGCTTTATGGTTTAAAATTTGCTCTTAATAAATGAATAATATGAATGTCTAATAAAATATGTAAAGAAAGGCTGGATAGACATTTTAACTTTTTAAATAAAAAAATATTTAAGAAAATAAAACACATTACTTGTGAATATTTTTTAAACCTAAGGATAAAACCTTCATAAAACTAGTCACAACTAGGAAGAACACGTAAGTCAATCACATTTTAAAAAGAAATTGAAATGACATTGCGAAATTTTAGAGAAAATAATTATTTTAAAATTTGGACCAATCCAGATCAAAATAAAACTGATCCCAATCAAAATTAACACAAAATAAATAAAATAATAATTTATTGCCTTTTTTATGTATTTACCACTAAGAAATCTATTTGATTGTCAAGTACAATTACTTTTTTAGCCGTATTACACCTAAACAAACTAGTATTCTTGTGAAAATGTTATCTATTTCCAATTGTTATAAAATTCCAGTTGGGGTCAGTTTAATTTCGATTGGGATTGGCCAAAATTTAAAAAAATAATTTCTGTAAAATTTCGCAATTTCATTTCAATTTCTTAAATATGATTGTCTAACATACATGTATCCTTTGAAGCTGAGACCTGTTTTTCGAATATTTTATCCATAGGTTTTCAAAATATTCACAAATAATGTGTTTTATTTATTTTCATAAATAATCTTTTAGTAAAAAAAAATTAAAATGTATCTCTGGCTTTTTTTTTTTTTTTAAATTTTTTTTTTTATTTTTATTTTTTATTTTTTTTTTTTTTAACATATTTTATTAAATATTCATATTATGCTATTATTAACAGCAAATTTTTAACTCTAAAGCATCTTATTTGCAAATAATACATTTTTTTTTTCATTTTCTATGAAAAATTGGAAAAAATATTTATAAAATAATTAAGAGCTAATATCAGTCTTTTAATGCTGAAACCATAACTTAATTAACATGGATCTATTAAAGATCTATGAAATAAAATTTTGGTCTGGCATTCCTCCTTAAAATGTATTTGAAATTGCAGCATCACTGAGTTCCACATTTACAATATATCCGTCTTATTGCTCTGCTACTTCAAGAAATAAGCTGTTATCAATATAAGGAATTTGACTTGAGGATAAAGCCACACATTTATAATAATAATAGGTACATGTAGAAACTTGACATTCAAACTGACACATGAGTAAGTATTGATATTAAAATAGGAACAATTTCACTAAAACTGATGGCTAATATGTCACAAGAGAATAATTTTTTACCTTCAAACAAGAACGTGTCCACCTCATTCCTAATTTCTAGTGAAGTCAGTCCCTTGTCATTTTCATCTTTTGCTGTCAATAAAATGTCCAGAAAGTCAAGGTGACGAGACTTTGGATTTGGACCATCTTCTTTCTACAAATTCATTCATGAGTTAAAACAAATAACAATTATATGTATTGCATGCATTCAAAAAGCTTAATATTTCTATCATGCTGAGGAACTATAAAGTGAGAGTGAAATGTGTCTATAGAAAAAAGGTACAGTATCTCGAATACCAATATCTCAAATACCAAGGATATGTCAAAGTAGTTCTGAAGTTCCAGCTACTTAATTATTATTTAAGAATTTTACCCTCAATATCTCAAATCTTTGGAAATCTCACAGTTTTTTCTTGGTTCCACTGAGTGCGAGATTTGAATGTATGTCAGTAGCTACAACTTTTAATCCCTATGAAGTTTTCAATTGTTTTTTTTTTTATTTTTTTTATAAAATCTTATTATCATTTCTTTTAAACAACAGAGATTCCCTGTAATTTCCTTCCTTAAAATGCATGCATATATGGATCCTCCATTACAAAGTGAAGAAGACAAAGACAATTAACTTACTAAACTTCTCCTTCTTTTCTCAATAATGTCCTCTGCCACTTTATGCACATAATCACAGTTCTTCTTAAACTCTCGGCCACTGGGTGACAAGTTGAACAGAAAGTCAGCGTAAAACCAAGGTTTTCTGTAATAAATTCTTTATATCAGCTCTACATATTTTGATACATGCAGTTTATACAGATCATACCTCATGCAGTATACAAGGTAAAATAATTGCAATAAAAAAAAATTAATGATTATATATGTATATGCACACATAAAGGAATTTCAAATGTTGATAATTGCATCATGTTTGTTATGTTTATCAAGCCACAGATTATGCTTATATATGACACATAATATATATACACTCTTTTCTACCAGTAGAGCAATTGAACTGTGTATGTAGACAACTTACAAAGACCTTGCCACCCAGATATCAGACAGCACATTAACTGCATGGACATAAGGATGTGTGTCCCTGAAACCCAGTACAGACATACTCAATAAATTATCATACATTGATTTGTTTTGTATCAGAATCAGAGGTGTAATATATATTTCTAGTAATCATGTGAGCATCAGCTTGAATTATTTTAATACATGTATGTAACTAACCATTTTAATTTAAAAAAAAAAAAAAAAAAAAAAATACATATTCATATTTGGCATAACTGGATGATTTAATTTTTGACAGTTACATGTGCTCTCAAAGGAAAATGCACATTACCCTAACTGTTGGCAGTTACTCTCAAAGGAAAATGCACACTGGAGAATGATATCTAGAGAAGCCAAGCCAATGAAAGAAAACATCTCAAAACTCTTCCCTGCCTCCACCTGTTTATCTATCTTGTCCTGAAAATTGTCATAAACACCAACTCCCATAGATACTGGGTTAAAAAGACATCATAATATGGAACAATATGCATGTAGTTTACAGATTAAATATTAATAATCATTCTCCATGCTTTATGAAACTGATTTATATATGCATCTATATATGTTAGACATATGTTTAAATATTTGGTAAACAGAAAAGGATATATTTCTAATCTAATATTCAACAAACACCCAAATTCATTCTGTATTTCATTTGCAAAAACATAAATACCACTAGAATGGAAGCAGCCTTGTTTTTGAGGGCTATATAAGACTGTAAAATATCAAAATGGAATGCTGGGGTAAGAAGCCTGCGATTCCGTGCCCACTTCTGTCCATTAGCTATGAGTAAACCTTCTCCCAACCAATCCAAACCCAAGATATACACTGTACCTGTTTGGTGAGGTTTTGGCTCTATCAAGAAACAAGAGGACCAAGGGCCTTAACGGTCACCTGAGTATAATACAACAATTTAAAGAATCCATAGAGTATAAAATGAACTGAAAGGTGAAGCTTTGTTGCCCAAAAGCAAGAAAAATAGGGTGATCAGGATCAACAAAATAATTAGTCTAGTGTTCATTAACAGTTCGTAAATTAGGTTCTAATCTGTTCCCCATTTATCACTATCACAGTATATTAACAAACTATCAGTGCTTCTGTACTATTTTAATTCCTTGTTGAAATCTCTTACATTGGACTCTCTTGGTCTTTGATGAACATTGAAAAAGACAAGTTATTTTTGTCTCATTTTTATTTATCTATTACTTACAAGTCTACCTGATCATTAAAACTATGAAAGTACTTTTTGTATTATACAATAAAAAATCTTGCAAAATTCTTTTATTCCATTAACCTTTCAAGTACATTATTTACAGTGACTAACTATCAAAAGTAAATGGCAAAGGGGAATAACTCCCCTCAGTAGAATACAAATTAATAGAGCCCTGGCCAAGACCAGAACACTTGACAAAATGGTCCAGATGTTCAAAAATATTTATTAAAACTTTTACTCTTTTTGCCTCTGATATGCCCAGGTGCAGAGAAGATTTTCAAAGAAATAATGCATTTTTTACTACAGATTCACTACATTATCAATAGAGCCCCCCAGTCCCCCCTCCCCACACACTCCCCCCCCCCCCACCTCCCATCCCCACCGAGAAACACCAGAGCCTCTCACCCTAGGACCAGAAGTTAATTCATCATACATGTAAGTAATCACTTTGTTTATCTGATTAACACTAAGGGGCAGACAGGATTATTTAACAGAATTAATGCATTTTCACTATATTATCAAGAGCCCCACCCTTACACCAGCACATCTGACCCAGGGGTCATGCAATTCACTACTCTGGAAGAAGCAATCATGCTCATCATAAATATACACTTAGCTTCTTTGCTTTGTAACCAGAAGCAGAAAAGAATATTTTCAGAGATATTTTGTTTTTTCACTATATAATCAATAGAGCCCCCCCCCCCTTTTTCACCAGAACCCTTGACCCTGGGGCCATGAAATTCACAATTTTGGAAGAGGCATACTTGCGTATCATAACAATGTACTAATAGTTCGTTTAAATAATACCCAGGGGCAGAGAAGAAGATTTTTAAAGAAATAATTCACCTTCACTATAGGATATATATGGCTCCACCCTAGCACCAGAACCCCTGACCCTGGGGCCATGAATTTCACAATTTTGGTAGAGTCACTCTTGCTTATCATAAATATGTATTCAATTTGTTTCAATAATACCCAGGAGTAGAGAAGAAGATTTTCAAAGAAATAATGCACTTTCACTATATGATTTACATGTATATAGCCCCACCCTAACACCAGAACCCCTGACCCTGGGGCTATGAATTTCACAATTTTGGTAAAGTCACTCTGGCTTATCATAACTATGTATTCAATTTGTTTAAATGATACCCAGGAGTAGAGAAGAAGATTTTCAAAGAAATAATGCACTTTCACTATATGACCTATATAGCCCCGCCCTAGCACCAGAACCCCTGACCCTGGGGCTATGAATTTCATAATTTTGGTAGAGTCACTCTTGCTTATCATAAATATGTATTCAATTTGTTTCAATAATACCCAGGAGTAGAGAAGAAGATTTTCAAAGAAATAATGCACTTTCACTATATGATCTATATAGCCCCGCCCAAGCACCAGAACCCCTGACCCTGGGGCCATGAATTTCACAATTTTGGTAGAGGGCTCAATGCTTATTACAATCATGCCAACAGTTTGACTGCTTGATGTCCAGGAGTAAAGAAGAAGATTTTTAAAGATTGCATTAATTTTGGTGGTTTTAGCCCCACCCCTCAGGCCCCAGGGGGGCAGGGACCATGAAATTCACAATTTTTGTCCCCCTTCACCCATAAATGCTATATGCCAAAATTGGTTGAAATTGGTTGAGCGGTTTCAGAGAAGAAGCTGAAAATGTTTAAATGTTAACGCACGACGCACGTCGCACGACGGACGCACGACGACGGACAAAAACGGATAGCAATAGGTCACCTGAGTGACTCAGGTGACCTAAAAAATAAACAAGTAAAGGTTGCTTTATTAGTCTTCACAAACACTCACTAGTATCATGGCCAACATCATCAAATTTTGTGAGAGAATGAATTGTTAACACTGTAATATTCCGACACATCATTGTCATAAATATCAAACATGTACCAATAGATTTCAGACAAAACATTGTCATAAATATCATACCTGTAGATTTCAGACACACCATTGTCATAAGTATCTCACATGTAGATTTCAGACACAACACTTTTATAAAAGTCATACCTGTAGATTTCAGAAGCACTTTGACTGTTTCTGGATGATGGAGAATTAGCACTGGTCTAAAACTTATCCACAGTAAGTGAAACATTGGGTATTTGTCACAGCGCTTCATCTGGAATTTAAGCCCCTCCTCATTTGGACCCGGATACTACAGCGGGAGAAGGTACAACCATAATGCCTGTCATACTATTTCATCTCAATAACTAAAGACTGTTGAAATATTACTTCTTACCATCAGCAGGTGCCCCATGAGTTTGCTGGGGTAGGGGTCCCCTGGGAGGTTATTGTAGAAGTGGGCCCAAGTACGATAGTCTATATAAGCCAAGGTCACTTTGAAGATGACATACAGCAAGATGGCCATAAATCCAAAACTGACCCAGGACCACCAGGAGGACAGGATAGAGATACCCAGGACCGTCATTGTTTACACTACTGACCAGCTGATCTAGAAAATAAAATAAGATTCATTACTCCATTTTCATATCTCCTTCTCCGAATTTATGGTTTTGTTTATGAGCACTACATGTATATACTTCAAGCATTGGCAGGCATCATCCAAAGTAAACAAGCATTAAATGGGAGATACAAACTTACCTTTTCATTTGTACATGGAGTTTTAGGTTAACAGATATATGTCATCTTTTAAACAAAATCAGTCTTTTAGCTTACCTTATAAATACCTTCTTTTATTATTGAAAATTGTCTGGTGTCTGTCTGTTGTGGCTGTCTCTACACCTTACACATTTAAACTACTTGACAATTTCCACCAAATCTTACACAAAGTTTCACTGGGTAACAGGGATTTAAATTTTGTTCACTGAAAGGGCTGTGTACCATTTCATGAAAAGATAACTAAAATTAACCATTTTTCTCCCCATGTATTCTTATCTAAAACTATGGTCCCCTACTGTGTCCCCTACCTAGCCATAGGGCCATTTCTAACATGTTTAACCAACTTGAATCCAAACAATATGAGATATACATGTATGTTTTTGGATTAATTTGACTCACTTGCTGTTCTGCAAAATCTCATTTTATTTTTTCCTCACATAGTAAAAGAATAAAATGGCACTACCTAATCCCATCTAAGACCATGATTTGAATATATACTAAAGCAGAGATGCTTGCATGTTAATTTGACTCACTGTGGCCTTAAAGAATTCAGATCCTTCCATCAACTCTCTTTATATTCACTTTTGAATTAAAACCCACCTCAGTCAAATGCTTACAATTTTCTTTGTTCTTTGCACAACACTGCAGATTTTACAAGTCTTTTCCCTTAAGTCATGGACTTTGTTTTTGATTATTTTTTCATTGCAAAATAGCACATATATAATTTTACAGCATGGACAGTGTACACATTTAAGCATAGAAAGTATACATATCCATGCAATACAGGTGTACATGTACTTGCATACATAAATAAACTGACTGCAATGTGAGAAAATTCTCAATGGCAAATGCATAGAATCCATATTGAGATTAAATACACACAGTATTTTACACAACTGATTTTCCCTCTCTCTAAGTGTTCTTGGCTTAAGTACAAATTTTGAAAGCCCACTGTAATTTGATGCACAAGATACAACTGTAAGTATTTTACAATAGTTCACAGTCAGAAAAGTGATACAAATAAGTACACAGCACAGGAAACCTTGTGTACTTAAAAACAGACATCTTACAAAATCTCATTTCCCTTCCTTAATGAATCAATTTATTTCACAGAGACATAATCAATCATTTATAGAGGAAATATTATTAACAAGTTACGTAATTCTGTCTCAATATATTTTTACATTATTGCCACAAATGAATTTTGAAGGAAATAATGTTTTTATCCTTGTTTGTTTGTCTGTCTGAAACATAACTCAACTTTTGAATGGATATTGAGGAAATTTTAAGAAAAAAGTGTACTTTAAGGGGGAAGTGTAAATAAGATTCTGCAGAAAATTCATTTTAACAAAGGTTTAAAATAAATTTAAAAGTTACCAACTTTCTACCACTAGGCATTATGAAGTCCAGCAGAATCATTACAATCACTAAGAATTGCAAGAGCACTCCATATCATATATGTTCTATTTTTTCCCCCTTGAGAACACAGAATAAAGGATATAATCCAAAGAATAAGATAAAAGAGAGACATTCCCATGGTTGGCAAAGGAGATTTCAGAGTGTCCTCTAGTTTTGACATTGTGCCTTGATCTAAATAGTGAAATACATGTCCACCTACACTGTACATGTAACAGTATACATGTACCTTAAATGATGAATACATGTAGAAACTCACAAAAAACAAACAAAAAACAAAAAAAAAACCAATACACTGTACTATGGCAAATAAAAAAGAATAACATGTATCTTTTACATGTACATACAGATATGCCTTTGTTTTGTTATTATGTAAAAAAAAAAATAAAAAAAAACAAAACAAAACACATTAAATATATTTTTTGCATCATTATACAGGACTGTTTTTAAAAGAAATCATAAAACAGACTGGTTTAGTATAGGGACAAACATATTCCCAGATCTAGAAAGGAAATATATTGGTGCCACATGCAGTTTGCAAGTTAGAAATACAGCGAAACTGGTGGTACAAGAGAGAGTGTCTACAATAAAATATAAAAACTGCACTTCAACATATAAATTTTACAATGAATGGAAGAAGTATCTTAGTACATGAGCAACAGAAGCATTTCATGTACAAAAGTCACTGGGTTAACAGGTGTGTGAAAGTCAACATATTGGGTCTCAGTTATTAGCTCATGTGATTAGAGCACTTGATTTATTACCATCTGTGACAGTTAATTGGCACCCAACATACACTAAAATGTCACAGGTGGTGAAAAATGCAGACTCAACCAGAACTCGAAACCAGGGCCTCTGGGGCACCATGCCTATCAGCTTTTGAGATTCAATACATGTATACAGACTGACTTTCACACACCTGTTAACCTTGGTTAATATTCTGGATGGCTTGGTATCCGTGTTGAGGTTGGATCGCCTAGTAGCCCAGTACCCATGTGAATTCTAGTATATGTACATGTATATCCATATATAACAGAAACAACCAGCCAATTTTTATAATTGTGTTTTAAATAAATGTCTAATATTGCATTCAGTGATTATAAAATCAGTTCCACATTAAAAACAAGGTCCGGAACAAGTCATGTCTGAGAACTGGTTGCTGGATTATTTAACACGTAGCACTTTAAAAAAAAATTGACAAAACACAGAAGTAAACTTGAAGAACCTTTACACAATTAAAGAATGGATACATTAATATAAAGAGGGGAGGTGCGTGCAGTTTATTCTCCACTTACATTTATCACCTCGCTGATAAACGTTTTGTAAACAGTGCATGTCACCAGTTATGATAGATAAAATGACATATTATTTATATCTGATTCTCTGATGTCACTACGCATACAATATACTTAATCAGTTAATACAGTTGTTCGCATAAAAAATCAACAAAAAAGACTTTACCATCATAAACTGTCAGTCTCATAAACTCTGTCCAAAGCCAATGGTCGATGTCAACTTCAGTCTCGAGATAGTCAGCTCATCACCGGATGTACATAACCTTGGAGGTGCTACTAATATCCGAAATTACAACTAGTCGGTGTCAAAGAGTTAGGGCAATGCGCCTTATCATGATTAGCGCTACATATTATCTTTTAGCTTGTTCAGGTCCTAAAAAAATGAGGAAAAGCAGGAATCATATAAAAAGAATTGTATTCATGGCTTTATCTATTTATTATTTATTTTTATTTTTTTTGGGGGGGGGGGGGTAGGGGGGTCATCAGGGATTTTCAGAATATTAATTTAGATTTTATCTTATAGTTAAATAATTTAAAAAAATGACCTTGAACCCCTTCCCCCTCCTATGAAAAGCTGCACTCCTGAGGGGTCCCTAATTTTTCGGGGGGGGGGGGGTTAAAGGTAAATTTTTGGTTACTTTACTGTATAATTTTTTCTTTCAGGTTGCATACAGAGAGAAAGATGACGTCAACAAGTGCGTGAGGAAGTTGATGGCACTCCTTCTCATGCCCGAGGAACACTTCGTTCCAGCCTTCCAGAAAATCAGCGACTCTGCTGGGGAGGAAGGACTCTTGAGGGATGTTGTCAACTATGTCCAGAGGACTTGGATCACCAAACGTACCTGGCCAGTTTCATCCTAGTGTATACCTTCAACCAGTCCATCAGGACAATCAATGAGGTATTAATATATTAAGAAAATTAAAGATACATATGATAAATTCTCAGATATTCAAGTACGTTATATAAAACTTTTTTTATTACATGTAGTTAATATTCTAAAATTTACTTTACTTCTATACAATGTACAACTTGAAATAAAATCATTTGGTATGACTTTTAATTCTAAATCAATTCTTCAGGTTGAAGGCTGGCACACCAGGATGAAACTCCAGAAGGCCCAAGGGTCCCACAGCCTTCCCTTCTACATTCTGCTAGACCTCCTGAAGAAGGAAGCAGATCCCCTTACAGAGGCGTCTTGTAAGTGAGGGGAAGTTGCAGAGGATGCAGAGAAAGTCAACAAGAAAGGTAACATATTAATTTCATTTTAAAATAATTACTACATTTTGTAAGAATTTGCTCTTAAACTGCTCACATACAGTGTAAAAATTATTCTGATGCAACTTACTTTGGATTAATTTTATTTGTTGATGAAGGATCTTACTTACTTATCTTTTTAATTTTTCAAATTAGGTTCAGGCCAAGATCTTTCAGCTGTGGAACCAGAAAGCAGAGGGGAATATCTCTACCTCTTCACTGCTGAAGAAGCTTGGCCGCCTCTACAGTCCTTTTTGAACCCAGTGTTCTGCTGATGTGACTGTTATTTGACTGTGACTTATGTGACTTAATGCTTGTTTGTTGTGCTTGTGATTTATTTTTATTTTAGTACCTTTGTTATATAATCTATGTAAATATTGTACAAATAAAATAAATTATAAATGACACTACTTCTTTGCTTTTTTTCATTCAATAACCACAACAAAAATGAGAACTGTTTAGAATGTATGGAAAAAATACCTATAGTGGGAAATTATGAAATAAGGAACCAAAATGACCATAAAATTGAATAAAAAAACAAAATATATGGTGATTAATGCCCTTATCATATTTGTATTTTATTTATTCAAATTTGAATAAAAACTTACATATAGGCCTAGTATATATAATTATAGTATATAATTATATATCTATTTTTTTCAAGTGGGGGAAAGCATTAAATACAAGAAATAATACCCGAAGCAAGCGACATATAAGCGGCGGTGTAAATCGAAGGTTTTTACAACGCTTGGATCTGTAGCTCTCTTAATGCTTTGTCTGTCCGAATTTTCTAAAGCAGAGAGCTACAGTTCTGCAGCTACTATTTAACAAGCAATTGTTGATGTTCTTGTACCAGAACACACCATAGAAAAAATTACCTATCACCTTTTCTCGAAACTCTAAGTGTAAAAATCCATGGAGCTTATACTTGCAATTTGAAAATTAACAAAATTGCATGTAAATCCCCAAAAAATCCACAAAATTGGAACAAAACCCATGCAAATTAATTTGGAATGAACAGTCTTCAAGTAAATTTCAACAGTATATCAGTAATGATCCAGAGATCCTAAACATAATTAAAGCTATATATGGCGCATCTGAGCTAGAAAATCATAATACGTATAGACTGAGTGTAGATATATAAATAATATATGTTATTTATCAAATTAAAATTTTCACCGATTTTGAACTTGAATAACCTCAGGTTTCCATAGTTAAATTGACTTAAAACTTAGTCTGTTGATTAAACGTGGAGTCGGTAATCAAATAGATCGGTTATCAGATTATAATTTAAAATTTTTGATATCTTTGAAACGCGATAGATTTAACTTGTGTAATTTACAGAAAATTCCTATCTTTATATAAAGTAATAAAATAAATAGGAAGATCTGTTTAATTTTGGCTATCTGCAATAAAGCAGCTGATAACTTTAATATTTTTTTTTCTAGATGCAGCATATAAAACTCTGAGAAAACCAAAATTCAATAAGCAGCAGGAAACCAACAATCAGAACCATGGTTTGACAACCTTTAATAAGATTAACACTGTTTACGTCGTATATACTTATTTCTGTTGGTACAGTCTTTGTTTTTATTCCCTAGAAACCCACAGTTACACGCGTACGGCAGGTATTGCAGAATATTAAAAGAGTATTCTAAAACTGCAAAAATATAAAGGAAGGAAATTTAAATCGGGTATGTTAAACAAAATAAGTGAAATTCATAAAGCTCATTTGGATATGCCTATCAAAATTAAGAAATGATAGAGACACTTAAGTTCCCCCTTACTTAATATCCCCAGACACATGGCTAGATCACTTCAATACGTTAAACAATATTGATAACAAATTTACTAAATCATGTTCAAATTATCAAAAATCAAGTTGAAACTTTAAAAAAAATTGAAGTGTTTTAATGAGTTGGACTTGAAAATAACAATAATCAAGGAGGAAAGCTATTTGCATGTTTCCTCGATTTCCGTATTTTAGCCTTTGACAACTTAAAATTTCTACAATTAGGAGTTATTTTTACAATTTAATTAAAAATATGCATTCAAAAAGCAGGTCACACGTTCAAGTATGAAATTATTTAACAAAACCTTTCTATATACTCATCTGGGTGTAAGACAAGGGGACAATTAATCTGACCCAGTATTTGTTCACAATATTTATTGATAATCTATCAAGTATGTTGTCTAGTTTAGTAACTTCGGATCCTGCGACACTTAATAATTTAGAATAACATTGCTTGCTATATGCTGATGATGTTGTTCTATTATATCAATCTCAGATAATGGCCTTCATCAAAAGCTAAATACATTAAATGGTTTTTGTTCAAAATGGTGTTTAAGTGTAAACGTTGAGCATTTCATCCTTTTGTTAAAACAAGTCAGATGTTTTGACCATACAATTAAAGGGTTTTTATTACTACATGTATCTAACTTTTTAAAAATGAAACACTATGATATTATTGAAACATTTAATTATCGTTTAATTAGAAAACATAATGGCAATGGAGAATGTCAAGTCAGATTTCAACTTTGGGATGTCGGTGACAATTTCTCTGATTTTGACTGTTGGTCTATTTTCTAAACCTAGCTCTCACAAATTTAAATATTAACTTCTTGTTCAAAGTATCAAGTTCAATATAAACTGAGGCTTTGTACACGTATAAAATTCTCTTTCCAATTTGATTTGTCTTTTGTTATTCATCTCTGCTTACGGTCCAATATTTTGCTAGATATTGGAATATATATGAGAAAAAATATTGGACTGTTATATGTTTAAATATTAGACACTCTTGGCATTCAAGAGAAAGTCATCTTTGTTGAGTAGGCACAGCCGTATTACCATTGGTAGTATCTCGATCGTCAGTGTATTATAGAAAACAAACTTTTTTCTACAAAAGACCTTATTTACAGAATTCAAATTTTACACAGTAGCCAAATTATCATTAATGGTATGGTTGGTAGTGTTCTCTATAGATGTTCGATAAGGTTTCGAAATTTTCAAGTCAATCCAGGGTGTCAGAACGGGGAATGGAATACAATTTTTTACAGCAATGATGTTCCCGAAACTCACCACATTTTAAACATGCAGTACTTAAAGCGAAAATGTATTTTGAAATACGATTGGTGGTGTCCTGTAGAAATGAGGAATAAAGTTTTGGAAATTTCATTTCACCTTAGGTGCCAGAAGTTCAAAACATTTTTAAACACACACATACAATCTCTCTCTCTCTCTCTCTCTCTCTCTCTCTCACCAAAACTCTTTAAAAAATAGAATTTATGCTGTATATATCAGATAAATTTTTGACAGTTATATATCTATAGTTTTTTAATTCAAAATACTGGATTGTGGAATTAAGATAATGTTAATAACATGAACATATTCAATTCAATTTATTGACATCACCATGTTGGTATACAGTCAAAATAACAAATCAAATGGCATAAACAGAAAAAAAGAAAAGAAAAAAAATATTATAACAATACATAATAGCTATAGCATGCAAGCAAATTTACTCGATTCTTTATAGTCCATGGATTTGTTCTCTCTGCATAAAGCATGCATCTCTCTAAATAGTAAATAGTTACATAAACGTAGTAGTGTTATAATCACATGCATTAACAATTTGTTTAATGGGATTAGTACCACAGTATAATTTATCACTAAAATATCACAATATTGAAGATTGTCATACACAGGAGAGTATCAAGTACAAAATGTTTTTTTGTTTTTTTTAATTTCGTTTTACAATATCTGCCTGTTTTGTTATATTCATTGTGATGTAACAGAGAAAAAGGTAATAGTTAAAAATTTTAACACAATTATTTTCAATTATTTCTGGAAATAAAATCCATCTTTTTATCTGTACCAAATGAGAGTTGTCTCTCTTTTTATGTTAAAAGATACAAAATTTCAATAAACTTGTTCAGTATATATATCCAGTTTTAAATCCATTGTTAGCTTCTCTCACAAGCACTTGTTTCTGTTGCTGTAAAAAAAAAATAACCCACAGTATAATGTTATTATTATACTATGGGTTAAATATTTATTACAGATCGAAACACTTGTCTTCTCTGTAGAAACTTGGACGAGGTCTGCAGAGATGCTATCAATGCTGAAATTATGTTTCGTCTCTAAGTAATAGAGAAAACGTTATCTCCTCGTTTCATGAAACGTGAAGTTGATTTTTCAGAAATTCTTAATCAATAAGAGGGTATTACAGTCATACTATTAGAAGGACATACAGTATTTGGCAATGACAAACAATAAATATCTGATAAAAATATTTGCAAATCCTGTTTTAAAGTCTTAAACCATGTAGAATTTACTTTTAACTTTCAACAGAACCATTGAGTTTGTACATTTTATGATATTAACAAGTTGTTTCAGTGTCTTAATCAGCTTGATATTGAACAGAAATGAATCCACACAATCCTCATTTGTCGAGGAAGTTATGTATCAACTTAAGCTTGAAAGAATTAATGACTGAATGTCACAATATCATGGATTTCCGCAAAAATGTTTATGAAGAATTCTTCTTATTTTTTTCTAAAATTAATTTCAAGGTCATTTCGTGTACAGCCGAAATGACAAAAAGGTATTGTGAACTTGGTTGGTACTTGATCAAATTTACTGAGAGGTCCTTATTAAATTCGGGCTTCACAGGATTTGATCAAGTAACCAACCAAGTTCATTTCCCAGAGAACCTTAACCTTGTTATTCATTTTTTAAATAATCCGTAGATAATGACGATAGACAGTGACCAATCTCATGAATCTAGTAAAAGATACGAATTGTGAACAGAGCAAAAACAAAGACATCTGGAAACACAACAATGGGATTAGGTGCCTTGGAGGAGTTAGCATCAACTTGTACGTACTTAATTAGGTAAAGGGATTAATCTGTAGTCAAGATGGCATAAAACAATGGCCTTACAGTGAGTGGGAAACATGCCAGTCAAAATACAACAGACCGATGGGTTGTATTTGCAAACAAGGTCATTATAACAATCATGGAATTTGCGAAATGTAGACTTTAAACAAGATGGTTGAAAACCCTGTAACATCAATTTATCAGTCAGTAGCCTGTCTCTGTTTACAAATTGATCGTACACAAAACATTCTATTGTGTATTGAAACAATTGGGAGACATAAACACCAAGTACAGATAATAATGCTTTAAATTTTATCTTTAGTTATAGCTGTTTATCATTATAGGTTCATTTACGTACGAATGGTTGTTAATCATTATTTTTGCTAAAGTACTCTTTTGTTTTTCATAACTTCTTAGACTAACTACCTAAGTATTACTTACTCTTAACCTTTAACTCTAACGGGACCTCAGCCCTAACCCTGACCTAGTTAAAATACTAGAACATGTACATATATATCCATAGTAAACACTCAAATTTTATGTGAACCTAGCAATGCACGACTGTCATGATTTATTATGAATGAACATTCGTAACAAAAAACAAAACAAAACAAAACAAACGAAAAAAAACAAACAAACAAAAAACAAAAAACAAAAACAAACAAAAAAAAAAAAAAAAAAAAAAAAAAAGATATGGTCAAATATTAAGAAGAATTTTAATGGTAAAAGCAAGATTATTTTTCAACAGACAACAAATTCTTTGAATCGGTTTTTAGGCGTGAAGGATATGATTGACAACACAGGGGAGGGACATATAATAGTCAGAACAAAACAAAAACAGATAGATATCAATAACCCTTAAACATACATTGAATCGGTAATAAAGAGATAATTATATAAACTGAATTCTCTGAGTTTCATGTATCAGATTAACGTTAAAAATTCAATTTGCTTGTCAATTTTTCGAACTCATAACATTTAAAGAAGGCAACATATAATTTAATCCTGCGTGTATACACTGACTACCCTGACATGTTCCCAGGGTATAAAATATCAGTATTCTTTTAATGTTCATACTATCGTCTAATGTGTCTAGATCGGTCTATTATGATTGTGTACTTTAATCCGACTTTGAAGGCCGTATTCCATTTAACATGTCCTTATTAAAGGGCCATCAAGTGCATTACAATGATTTTATGTGAATGAATGTAATCAATTAGATTTTACATAATACATTTCAAATAGTTATTTAAAGAAATTCTGTGAATACCCGCCTCTGAAAGCAAAAACAATATTGCTGTTATGATGTCCTATGATTAAGTAATTATAAATACATCGACTACGGCTTTCTTATCTTAAAATATTCTTTTACAAATCCCAGCTTAAGGAGTGTGCAATGACCAGTAAAGAGTTATATCAACATGTGTTCGAAAGAATACAGAATGAATAAATATGAATGTTAAGGAAAACAGTTATGAATTCTTTTTACATATTGTCTTTGGTATCATAAGAAATTTAAATAAATCATTTCGGTACATTGCACGGTTTGATTGATTTATTACTCATCAAGATTAAAATTTGAAATTGGACGTTTATACATTTGAATGATTTATTAAAGAAATACTGGATCTGCATTTCAATGAACATTTGAGTTTAAAACATCAATCAAATTCAAAATATTTACTCTAAGTGAAATGACGAAATATACTGCCTTATCTTAAAATTTTGTTATCCCGTTCAACTTAAGAAAAAAGCGAATATTATTTCTTTCTAGATGAAAACAACAAAGGAATGATTTTGTTTCATTTTGATGGAAATATTCTTCTTAATGGATGATATAAGCAACCAATGTATATTGCACATGATGTACCGGTAGCAAACATGAAAAAGACTATGGTGAGAGAGAAAACAGAAAACAACGCGAGCGTATTTTAGATCACCTTGTGGTTAAGTTAGTGTATTGTCATAGAAAAAATAATAATAATAAGATAATAATAATAATAATAACAACAACAAAAATGAATTTTAAAAAAACTTATTATATTAACAAGCTTCTTACTGTGAATACTCTGTTGATAACTAGATACAAAGTGCGTTGTATTTACTGCTTTTAAATGCATAATTTTTTTTTAATTTAATAATCTTATATCATGACACGTCAATGAAATTATATATATATATATATATATATATATATATATATATATATATATATATATATATATATATATATATATATATATATATATATATATATATATTAATTTACCAATCTCCATTGAAATTAATCGAAATAATTGATCAAGATTTTTCTTGTCAAAATATTTACATTTTAAAATTTCTTTGTGCGAGATAAAACTACAAAGAGTAAAAATACTTCATTTCTACATAAAGCTACTGGTTCATCGATAGGCGTGGTTAAAAAAAAAACACGTGCGGATCGGGAGAGAAACAGAAGTAAGCGGGGCTTGTAACACGTTAAATTGCGGAATCAAGAGCATGTAATTATAAGGAATTACTGTCAGATTTTTCGGTTTTATGATGTGTTCATGCAAATTATCACGCAAGCCAATCGCATCATCACATCATGAAACCAGACAGTTATTCCTTAATTCAATTATATCAACTCTAAAAATGAGATTTTTATTGAAACGTATAAAAAAAATTTAATTGATGAATTATGGTAGAAGAATTACTATAAATGAAGAAAATGATGAAATATAGATGAAGAAGAAGATTCAGTACAAATGTACATGTAGTACTGTTATGACCGTACAAGTCAGATATTTCTGAATCTCGTGAAAATGTTGCCATGTGGGACTTTAACTTCAATGTATCATTGATGAATAATTATCAAAGAATTGTTTGTAATTATAGAAATACATCTGTAGTCTGTCTAATTTTTTTCTCTGCACCAGTCATTATCAGAATGTTTTTTGAGCAGATCTCTATAGTGTGTGTGATGACTGGACGTACACAAGCTTCCCCTTAAGGGGCCTTTTCCTTGCCATGCGAAACTAGCCGTCACTCCTCGTCTGCTTCGCTCCTCGGCTGTTTGAATTCGCCTCGCATCCGGTATCCTTTCCGGTTTTGCGCTTGACAGTCTGGCTATCATACTGTTTAAATCAGACTTTTTCATCTTCTTGTTACCTGTTTTTGTAGTATGAATTATGAAATGGTTATGGCATAAAGTATCTTTGAACAAATAAAAAAAAATGATAATAATATATTTTTTTTTAAAGTCAAATATTAATATAACACTCTGATTATGCTATTAAACACAAATATTCATCATATTTAGAATGATTTATTGTATATTTCTACACTTCTGAAATGAGATGATTTTTTTTTAATTTATGATAAATTTTAATCATGGCTTGTTTTCTTATTAGAATTAGCCGTTTCAAAATTAAGTACATCACACATACAATCATTAAAAATGATCCTTACAATGTACATCTTTACATATAATTTGTTCATTAATTACAAGTTAAATTCTCAACTCACTCATAGTCATCATCCTTATGCAAAAAGTATACTAAACTAATTTTCACGACCTACAGGTACCTGTAATTTAATAAGTTACCTGTAAATCTACCCCCGGATGTGCCTGAACCACATCTCTGTTCTGTATTGGTATCGGTGACAGAGTTATGAACACTGGATGTTTTAGGCTGTGATAGTCTGTCGATGAGAGAGCCCAGGTCTGATTTAGAAAGTGTCTCCAGACCCATGTACTTTTTGCTAAGACCTGACATCGGAATTGGGCGCCTCGGGGTGAATTCCTTCTTTGTTGGTACAAACTCTGTATGCGGGAGACCAACTTCTATGAAATTCATTTTCCAAATTTTACTGAAAATTTATTCAATTCACGAACACTTGCACGAACATCATGATTCATAAATCATCCCACCACAAAAACAGCAACTAAATGCCAATTGGAAAATTCCCATTTTTTTATTTCCCTTTAGATAGAAATTCTTGAGACGATTCCACCTTACATAATAATGTTGTTAAAGGGTGTACATTAGAATTGATTTGACCATCCGGTCTGGCAAAGGGAACACATCTTTTAAAAGGCATTTATGACTAAGCCTCAGATATAAACAATAAGTTTTCTGTATTGATGTAAATAATAGTGCTTTGATCAACACGACGAGATTTGTTAGTCTTAAATGGCTTATAGAACACAATATCATTTTGATCTGGACACAGATTTCCAAATAATAACAAGGCTGATTTGTGCGAACTGGTGTGGGAGCGTGTATTCATTATTATGATAAAGAAAGCTAAACCACGCATACTCCATGTGCATGTAATATGATTTCTACCGATCCAAAGGGAATATATTTAAGACATTCCCTTGACAACTAAGATATATTTCAGCGAGAAGGACACGGCTGCTTTCAATTTCGCACTTATTTTTTGAGGGGAAAAATTTTGAGGAGGAGTCTAATATTTAAAAATGATGTTTTTTGTTTTGATCATGATGTATTATCCGGATCTGTTACAGTATTTTGCGACAAGCATGATTTGAATGATATAATGTCATCTTCATTAGAACAGGCACATTTATGAGGCATACTGACAATGTTTATATACTTGTAATCAAAATGATAAGTTATGCTGGTAATTCAGAGTAAGTAGGTCACTATTACATACATTTACATCTCTTCTTTCTTACTTATTATTTTGATGTTCATACATTGTAGTTAACCCTAAAAAAATTAAAAACGAAATGGAGGTAATTATTTGACCATGACATGAAGGGGATTGATTATTGGTTTGACAAAGTGGGGCCTTGTCTACTGCTCCTCCTGACGATATTTTGTTAAAGATTCATCTCAAATGTAATCTTTTAAATCACTACTAATAGGTTCATTGGGACAATAAATTAGATCAAGTTACATTTTATGACATAGATGCATATTCATTCGGCAAACCGTGATCATAAAGAACTAACACACTTTTGATGTAGATCACAGAGTCTGACACATCTGATTCATATTTTAATATTTTACAAGGAAAAGACTTTGATGGTAATCTAACAACCCAGCTTTGTGATAAACGTGATGAAATCGATTTTTCAATCGACTACTTCCCTTACTTATATAGCAATATACCCTTATCACCTGCATATGGGGTTTTTGTCTCCCAGTTGATTAGATACGCAAGAGCATGCTCTACGTATGAACAATTTCTAAAACGGGGCAAGCTATTGACAAACAAGCTGATGAAACAAGGATATCAACAGTCTCGTGTGAAGTCATCATTTTGCAAGTTTTGTGGTCTATACAATGACCTTGTCAGCAAATAAAACCTATTAATAAGTCAAATGCTGACTGATGTTTTTCATACTAATTGTTAGGCCATTATTTTCACACTGAATTATTTCCGTTTTTCCCGATCATGACAAGGAGCACACGGTGGGTGTGACCGGTCGGCAGGGGATGCTCACACCTGATCCCACCTCTGATGTTTTTAGAGATCGGTGTTTGCTCTGCCCCCGATTTCTATCGTTTAAATAGACTTTGAGCTTGAATATTGATTATTACATGTATATCCATATTTCATTCGTCAGGAATCTGAGCTCGCGAAAAAAGTAAAAAATTCATTGATCCGACACATAATACTTAAGCATTCTATTTATGATTCGGATTTATGTTATATTTTTAGGAAAGGGAAACATTTTCCTGATATTGTGTTTGATTTGCAAAAATATACCTTGAAATATGGCTAGATGAGTCATTTGGTACAGAATGTTACACATTTATATACATTTGTTATATCTGGGTCATCGCTGGACAATTTTAAAACGTTATATGTGTGTATTTTAATTCAAAGAAACGAGCAACGTTTACAAAAATAAAAATGGAGAAAAGACCCAGAGGCCATAAAAATCAACTTTTCCCAAAAAATCCTAATAACTGTGTAAATGCTCCGCTTCATTGTCGTTTTAATGCTCATATTTGCATTCGCGTTTTCTCAGTTCTTTCCAGCAAGGTCGGAAAAACACTTCGGATGTATTTTACATCACAGGATTTTAAAATTTTATACAATATGGAGTCGTTTATATTACAGGACTTTCTATGATCTCGTTCAAAGTAAGCATTTTGCAAATATATGGTCGTTTTAATGACAATGACATTGCAAATACAATCTATCTTTGTTTCGTATTTTGTCTGAAAGCCTCATACAAGTTGTTAGGCCATTGTTTTTTTTATACTAATTTTGACTGGATTACCCATTTACCTCATCAATACAGAGGGCTCAGGGCTGACAGGGTATGCATTCTCCTCCTAGGCACCTGATTCGATCTCTGGTGTTTCCAGGAGTCCGTGTTCATGTTTTATATTGTTTGTATCATATATGAGATTGATCAGAGTTGTCATCTTTATCTTTTCATTATATCTCATTCTCTTCTTTATTAAATTTAAAATTGTAATGGTAAATTATTGTACTGTAAATTAGTTAGAAATATATACATTAAAAGTATTGTACAAAATACACCTTTATTTTGGACACTGCTTTAATGTTAAATCAAGTTTTGTCTGTTCATAACAAGCTGTGATAATTGTATATCAGAATAAAATGAATAGTAATTTTGAATTTCTGTTGTCTTGTTCTGACAGCATCTGTGGTGGATCCACATCTGTACAACCAGGTATCACTTCCATTATATGAGATATAAGTATAAAGAGTAGATAGCCCCAACTCACCTTATACAATAAAACTTAGGTAGCAATATTAAATTCATCCCTACATTCGAAGAAAATAAAGATAGACAGACAAGGAAAAATTCTTTCAGAAAAGCTCACGAGCTCTAGATCTTGGACTAGGTGAACTAATGTACGATAAAGTGAGAAAGAGTGACAACTCGGTTCAACGAGGGAAATACCAAAACATTAAAATATCGAGTCAAAGACCTTGACTTTATGACAGGACATTGACTAAAGATCATGACACATGATTGTCAGAAGGAACTCCATTACTTTGAGCATCCATTTACTTTTTTTTGTGCCCGGAGAAGTAGGGCTGGCCAAATGTAATGGTTTTAAGAAATTTTTTTTTTCATTTCACATTGCAATTCATGCATAGTTGAAAGACTATATAGAACGATCTTTAAAAAAAAAAGAAAACAAAACCAAAAAACAAAACAAACAAACAAACACAAAAACTATAAATATAAAAACCCCTCAAGATACGAGGGGTGATCAAAAAGTTCGCGAACTATCTCTATATTTAAAAAACCACAATTCAGATCAGAATGAAATTTGGCACACATATAGTCATACACATGTTTCTATAAATAGCAGATGTTAAATAATTTTTTGCTCCGTGTTTGTGACGTCACAATGTGAAAATTACGTCAGTATGTAGGTCACTTGTGACAAAAAAATGGTTGACTCAGTCGTACTCGAGCAACGAACGGCTATAAAATTTAACGTATATCTCGGAAATTCCTTTGCAGTAGAATATGATAATTTTTACAAGGTTTATGAAGACAAAAGACTTACCAGAAGTTCAATCATTAATTGGATTGAATGTTTTAGTGAAGGCAGGGAGATGGTTAAAATTATGTTTGTTCTGTTGTCCAGCGAAAGCAAGCCGGTAAAAAGATGTGTCCTTAGTTGAGCAATTTGTTTTAAAAGATCGCCAAATTACAATAAGAAAAATAGTTGAAAATTTGAGAAATAATATAATTATTAAATTCCTAAAATATCGTTTACTTTAGACTTTAAACATATGAGATATGAAAAAATGAAGGCGCCCATATTTTAAACGACGCTCCCGAGACAGAGGACTCGGGTTGTGATGGTCGCCATGCTAATTCTGGGAAGGGATATCCTTATCCACCCATCCTATTGCCGAGATTTGGCCATTTCTGACAGATGGTCTGTTCTTGTCATAAAGAATTACTTGCATGGTATGAAATATAAGACTTGGAAAAATCTCTTAGCTTCCGTGAACAGACCTCTACGAAGCATGTCACGTGACCGCCTGGATCACGTGATTCGCGCATGGGCAGAACAATGGCATATGTGCATTAAAATCGGAGAGGACTACTTTAAAAAAATAATGAACACTAAAACCTCATTTTATTTCTTTTAAGAAGTAATTCAATTAGTTCGCAAACTTTTTGATCACCCCTCGTACTTAAATTCACATACAAATACCTGTCTTCTAAATAATTTGAAACAAAACATTTCATAAAGAGAAGAAAAATCATGTTTACAAACTTTCTCCTTACATATAGACAGATTTGAAATCAATGACAAAGATATTGAATAATGGTAAATGCTAAATCCTGATGTCTATATTAAAATCTACGCAGTTATTGGCATATACTTTTTTTGAAATAAGACTTTTTTTCCCCTGAAAGATCGTCCTACCATCTGTCAAGAACTCAAGTTACTTGATATTTGATAAACAACAAACAGACCACAAATATATGAAACAAACCGCCTTTTAAATTTTTTAATAAAATGCATCTATTATTATACTTGATTGATTTGATGGTAAGAAAATGCATTATTATGTAAGATTGTCAGCTTTAATGATTAATTATCTCCAGTTTTTTTCGCTTACAAACCTAACATAAAGAAAAGTTGTTTTTTCTGAGATAAAGTTCCTACAATTCTGGTAATATTCCATCAAAAGTGAGACCTGCATTCAGCATTAGTTGAAATATCTACCACAGATGAAGACAATAAGAGACGTTACATGCTTACTTTAGATTTACTTTCATTTGTGCCCGGAGAAATAGATTTGACCAAAAGTAGTGGGTGTTCATCTCACATTGCAATTCATGCACAGTTGAAAGACTCTATAAAAAACTTTTAAAATTTTTTAGAAAAATAATTAATTAATAAATAAAAAGAAAAAGAAAAAAACTCAAGATGCATAAAATTCACATTATGGAAATCATTTTGGTTTTATATTCGTAGATTTTATTAAGAAAGATTTGAAAGAAACTTGTGTCCAATCCCGTTGATATATATTGTCAATAAAATATGTTTATAAAGAAAAGGAAAACGAATTAATATGAAGAAGGAGTTATTTGGGATATACACGTGTTAGCAATAGGTACATGCAGGTAAATGAACAATTTGATTTTGTGGTCGTGAAATAGGTCTAATGCAAAGTCTCATTCATTTTAAAGGATATGTGCAATTTAAAACCGATCGCGAAATAAGTGGCATTTCTAGATTCAAGAGGTAATCTGAAGAAGAAGGGAAATGAAATAAGAAACATACAACCCCAGGTTTATTTGAAATGTTTTTACCATTTGTTGTGTTTCTGAATTTTGTAAAACACATTAACGGTATATTCATATACTGTGTAGTTTCTCTTCTATAAATTATTTATTATACATGTAATTTCCACCAAATAAATTTTAGACCCTTCTTTCAGTTAAATTATCCTTGCATTTTCTTCTCAATAATTGAACTATGTGTTCTTCCCAAAATCAAAGTCATTTAAGCTTGATTCGTTATATATATTTTTTGAAAGATGTAGTCTCATAACTGCAACGGTGAGTACAAACAAATTGAGTAACGCGTTTAGCGCGTTATGGAAATTTGTTTGCAAACACCATCATGTGGCAGTTATGAGACTACATCTTTCATAAATAATGATTTAATGCTTATACATGTATTTACATTAATTAATCTTTGCATTGACTACAAGTGTGATTTATATTTCAAAATCCCTGTATTATCCTTCGGGTAAAATACAATTAATGGAATAGCGATTGCAACAGCTTCTGTTCAATAGGAGCGTGAATTTTTACTTTTGCTTATGACGTTGCCGCACAACGTTTGTGACGTCAAAGTAAAAAGAAAGCATACTTTAACCCCGTCCGTGTTATGGTGTTTTGAATGCAGTCGCTTTCCACACACTTTATAAGCAAAATAAATTAATGTTGATTGTAAATACACTTGTAATCGAGAGAATAATTGGACTGAAATTGTAAATTTCTACATCAAATATGACTGTAAAAGTCGGTTGTGTAATTTTGTCCAATGCCAATTGCGATCTTTTATGACAAGCAAGACCATCTTTTTGAAAGTTCATATTCTTATTAATCATTTAAAAGCAATATTTAGATTTCAACAGAAGCAGCAGTTTCTGTTAAAAACAAAAAATGTTTTGTGTCTGAAAATGTGAAAATAATAATGATAAAAAAAAATATGAAAACTACTTTACGTTGTAATTTTAAAAGACATTGAAAATAATTTGAAGTCATTTAGATAAAAAACACATGAAAATTTCCCAAGAGACGTCGTTTCCAAGAGCCGACATTATTTTTATTTTCCCGAGAGACGTCGTTCTCAAGAGCCGACATTCAGTTTTTCGGTTGGTACTTGAGACCATGGTAACGTCTTCAACTTTTCTGCGCACGCGTACAATAAGGAGGAAGAATTAAAGCAATATTTTCGTCTTGGACCAGGCAAAGTTTTTTTTTTCTCCAGAAAAGTATATTTTTAGGTTTCGAAACCTGTAATTATCTGAAACCTAATACTTTCAGGAAATGAATACAATTTGCACCCATCATGCCAAATTCTATTTTTGTCAAATTTCCTGTTTGTGCGTTACGGTGCAACTTTAAGTAAAGGCAAAATGTGATAATAACCCTCACACATATATCTCGAAAAATAACAGAAACTAGAAAAAAAATACTAAGACAAAAATACCAGAACAAAGTTTTATTTTGACCCTTTGCGCTTCAGAATGATGTTCGACAGCATATCTATTTCAAATTAACTAATCATGCAGCCCCATTTTAATAGTATTTGTCAAAAGACATGTAAATGATCTAAACAAATATTCAATGCGTGTCCTTTTGAACTCTTCCGGAAAAAAAGATTTTCATGTTTACATTTCAAACATCGTTAAAGATGAAAAACATCTCAATTTTCTGAACAGGGAAAAATCAGAAAATTTTCTATTTAATTGTTTTCACCCCCATTTATTTTGACAAATGTGTTCTCACATGCGGAATAACATTTTTTGGAGGTGCAAATAATGACCAAAATAACGAGTTCAAAATTCTCCGATATCGTTGCTTATTTACAAAAAGACATTGACATCGTCAAACATGTTAAATCACTTTTTGCTAATGTATTTACAAAAGAAATAAATTCTAAATATTTTCAGTGGATATGCTATATAAATGAGCCCATTCCTCAATTAAAAGGCATCCGAGCTAGAGACCATGATCCGAAATCTCACTGCCTTCGCCTTGGTCATCTGTGGTAAGATACGTCCATTCTATTGATAATATTGAAAATTAAAAAAAGTAATCAGGTCTTTATGATTCGATTTTTGGTGTATTATTCAGAGTATAGTTTTTAGAAAAATATATATTAGTATATCTCCTGGATTTAAATTTTGAAATCCAGTGTATTACCTTTTTTTTTTTTTTTTTTTTTTTTTTTTTTTTTTTGATGAAATGGATATATTGATTTGAGTGACATTGAATGTTTCATTCATACATCAATGTGTTCTAAGTTCCTTTTTTTTTATCTATAGCCGTGTGTGCTACTGGCTACGGCGGTGGAGGAGGTAAGATAATATTTAAATAAATTAATTAAACATTTTCCATTGAAATGGTTTGGATGTAAAAGTATTTTTATACATTTGTTTAGAATGATTTGAAAAGCCCTGAAATCGGCTCGGTTATTGTTTTATTCCCTGATTTGAAAATAAGGTGTCAAAGCGTCTCTTCACAGACTCTGATCTGCATGTCATATTTGAATATATGTTACAGCATGTAAATTTGCACAATGTAAAACTTTCCAAATATTCGCTGTTAAAAAGAATCTGAGAAATAGCTGTTTCGATTTGATAATTTATTTTTAAAGGAAATTTTTTAAAGATTTTATCAAATTTATTTTAATGTAATTTATATTTTAATGTAACATGCATTCAACTGTATGTTCCGGGTTTATATTTTAATCTGAAAGTCTGAAGTAAAACGATATTCAAATTTTTACTTTACGGGTAAACGTCACATAATTAACTCGATGCTACATTTTTCTTTTAGGATATAGAGGTGGATTGTATGGCGGAATGGGAGGTCTCGGAGGTGGTCTTGGCAAAGGACTCGGAGGAGGAATAGGAGGACTTGGCGGTTTGGGTGGAGGAAATCTCATCGGAGGAGGTGGTATAGGAGGACTAGGCGGAATGGGAGGAGGACTTATAGGAGGAGGCAGTCTTGGAGGACTCGGAGGATTAGGAGGTGGAATGATTGGAGGCGGTGGACTCGGAGGACTTGGGGGTTTGGGAGGAGGGCTCATTGGAGGAGGTGGATTGGGAGGGCTTGGTGGTATCGGAGGTGGAAGTTTAGGTAAAGGAATTGGAGGAGGATTAGGAGGACTCGGTGGGCTTGGTGGACTAGGAGGAGGTGGTCTAGGAGGACTTGGTGGAATTGGAGGACTTGGAGGAATAGGAGGTGGTGGACTTGGAGGACTTGGTGGACTGGGAGGAGGTGGTCTTGGAGGACTTGGTGGAATAGGAGGTGGTGGTCTTGGAGGACTCGGTGGTTTAGGAGGACTTGGTGGTATAGGAGGTGGTGGTCTTGGAGGACTCGGTGGTTTAGGAGGAGGTGGCATCGGAGGCGGAAAGATAGGAGGAGGGGGTGGAAAAAGTGGTAGCTACTATTAAGATTTGATGGAAAAGAAGGGTGACATGTCTGATGAAAAAGGTAAAGTAAACAATTTCATAATTTGCACTTTTCAATGTATGATAAGGGTATGGACATTGTCAATTTTTTTCATTGAAGATACAATATTGGTTGCAATTAGTAAAATCAAAACCAAATGTTTTTTATTATCATATTTTTTGCAGTGGATGCCCGGAGGAAAGCTTTTGTCAAAATAAAGTGTATATGAAATCATAAATGTTTCAATTGTTCTATCTTTTGAAAAGCATTGATTTTTTATTGTTATATTCTTCAACATTTAATCAATGTGAAGCAATTGGATTTGTAAGTAAATGTAAACTGAGGGCAAGGGGAACTTTTTGGGATTTAAAAAGTATTGAACCGCATATTGGTTTCTCAATCATCTTTGGAAAGGAAAAGAACATCTTATTATCATTTATGAATTTAAAAGTTTCTTTTCTTTTTTAAAAGAAGAAATTCATGTGTTATTCTCGTAGATAAGATTGAAGAATAATACCGCATTTATTAATGATAGACTGAACTTGCAACAGTTCATGTCATAGATCTGTGAAAAAAACCGTTTCAATGCTGAACATGTCAGAATAAAAACAGCTGTTTTCTAAGTTCACTTTACTCTACATGTTCAATGTACACACCCCACATTAACTGTCATTTAAGTTCTTTTACTATTTCTGAAAGCGTACAAAAGTATCATTCCATCAGGTCATCTATAAAACACGAAAACTGTTCTTTCAGTGGGATAAAAAATCCAAGATCAGTGAAGTATGCTTGTTAAAATATCATGCATTTTACCACTTCGGACAAATTGATAGCGCTTATGTAAAAAGAAAGTTTGGTTTTCCTAATGATTATTGTCGATACTTCAAGCGTAACCCATTTAGCTTGTCGCTCATCAAATTGAAAATCCTGATGATTACAGCAATCTACTGTATGTATTAGAGCTTATCTCTCTGTATTCTTCTCGTAGAAAACACATCATTATTTTTAAAAAAAAAAATCATTTTTTAAGTTCTAGATTATATTCGCCTTCCTAAAAGATGAATGACAAGATATAAGAACATGATTTAAGACGTTTAATAAATGGGAATTCAAATGTTAAAATTTTGTAACAGGGAAATAATCATAATTCTTTGCGATGATGTAGTTATGTAAAGTATGATTGAAAATTTCAAGCATGTAGCTATAACTTCTTCGTATGTGATCAATCCATGTATCTTTTTGGATGAAATTTTCATGAGCTTGATCGTGTATGAATCGGTTTCGAAAGGAACATAGGAAAACCTCTTTATTAACCAAGTGTTGGTAATCTTCGCTTATTATTTGTACAAAGTTAACCTTATTATGTCATCCTTTTTTATTTAAGACACAAGATTTATTATGCACCAATCGACAGTTCTTTGCAATATATGTTCATAATAAACATCAGAAAGGTCGATTAGTGTATTCTAATTCTTAAAGGAAACGAATTTAGATTAAAGAGATAATTATTTGCTGTTAAAAAATATCAGCAGGTTTTACTTTGATCAAAGTTGTAAAGATTGTCAAATTTCAAAGGTAATATAAATGGCAAGTCAACACAATTATTTGACGTTTTATTTTATTATAACTTCATATGCGCTGTAATGATTGTTAATGAAGGCAAAGTTAACGAGAAACAAAAAATATATTCAGAGACTAGTTTTAATTCATTCATTTTTTCTATATTCAGTTTATTCTCTCAAATGATGTAAATAGTTCAGAGACGGATCCAGGATTTTTCCCAAGGGCGGGGTGCGGGGTGGGGGTTGTTCACATCAAATATAACAAACAAATGTCAGTTTTAGAAATTATTTTTGTCGATCAAAAAATTGTTACGGGAAGGGGACTACACTTTCTAAGTCTCTTCTCTTCTCATAGATGACTCTTCTTACCGTTTTCAAAAGGGTCCATATTTTCTTGGAGGGGGGGGGGGGGGAGGACATTTTCCTCTTATTGTTATATAGAGAATTAATAACTGAAAATTCCGGACACCTGAACCCCCCTCCCCCTTTTGCCCATGGTAGTTTGTTGTTCTAAATTTTGCTATTTTTTCTTCTACATTTACATGATAACAGTGTTAGATATTTTTTACACTAAAAATTTGTTTCTAAAACTTGAAAATATAAGGAAATGGTCAACATCAACAGTCTCGTTTAAAGTCATCATTTCGTAAGTTCTATGGTCGATACAATAACCTTGTCAGCAAATACAATCTACCATAAAGTCAAATGCTGACTGACTTGTTTCATATAATTTGTTAGGCTATTATTTACACACTGAATTGTCGATGGATTTTTCCGTTATTTCCCGATCATGGCAAGGAACACACGGCGGGTGTGACCGGTCGGCAGGGGATGCTCACTCCTCCATGGCACCTGATCCCACCTGTGAAGTTTTAGAGGTCCGTGTTTGCTCTGCTCTTATTTTGTAATGTTTTACGGACTTTTAAGCTCGATTACTGTTCTTTATCTCCACACATTTCATCAAATGTGACAGCATTTCCCGAATTTCCTATTTTGCTTAATTACCAAATATATATAAGGGTCACTCAAAAATACGTAGATTTTTTCCAGAATTTTTAAACTCTACATCATATAAATAACAAAACTTGGAGGGCACATTCTGACAAAAAATCCGATTTATGAAATATGAAGGTCCATGGACACAAATTTGAGGCAGAACAAACATAAACCTCAAAAACATCAGAGGTGGGATCAGGTGCCATGGGGCGAGTAAGCCTGTCACACCCGCCGTGCGCCATGTGCTCCTTGTCATGAACGGACAAACGGATAAAAGAGAATTCTGTGTAAAAATGATAGCCTAACAATTTGTATGATAAACGTCAGTCAACATTATACTTAACGATAGATTGTATTTGCTAACAAAGTCATTGTAAGGACCATAGAATTTGCTAAATATTGACTTTAAACGAGACTGTTGATATCCTTGCATTATCAACTTATTTGTCAATAGCTTGTCTTGTCTTAGAAGTTGTTTGGATGTAGAGCATGCTCTTGCGTATCGTTATCATACATTATCACTAAGTGATGATATCAATTAGATTGAATTTGACCGTTTTATTTTAGAAGCAAGGTCAGGTCAAGGTCATTATCTTTTTCCTTGACATTTAGAGTAAAAAAATTACTTTTGCTAATCATGTGATGCCTACTTCTATTTTAAAAGTTAAAATGTTTTTCTTTTTGCACAAAAAGATGTTACCATATCGGGTATATCAGATGATTCTACCAAATTAATTGACACAGTTTAACTAAAAGAGATATTGGCTAATCCGAATTTCCTCTATTTATATTAATTTTCTAGGATATATTATATACTACTATTTTTATATACTTCCTTATATTTAAATATTTCTTATTTTCACATATGGTAAAGTAGTCATAGAAATATACAAAATGATATGAAAACAAAAAACTTTGTCCGTTTAGTAAGAGAGAAAAATACTTTTTACTGATTTTTTTGCTCAAATCCAGTTTTAGCTTTCTAAAGCTAACAAGATTGTAGTTTGTTAAGAAAATCATTATTATTTTCTATAGTTTAAAACTTTAGGGTATTTCTATTAGTTTTAGCTAATTTCAAAATTTCTTTAAGTCTTTGATTGTTTAAAAACATTAACTAAACATATTGTTTTCTAAGTGATTTTGATGGGCAGAAAAGGAGATATTTTCATACGCCACAGTTGCGCCAATAGTATAGTCCCTGCTGGATTTCAAACTCAGTTTACTATTTCTATCTAAAATTGTACAATTATGATGAGTAAAGAAAAAGCATGATCTTTTAAGTACATCACAGCTACGTATAAAAGACATACAAACAAATACACTTGGATTATTTCGACTAGTCAGAAACCAGAGAATAATCCTTCCTTAAAACACAATTTCTAGAATATTTTTATCGTACAGTACTCCTGAAGTTTCTCCTTCACTGCCGCTAATATTTTAGTGAGGAGTAAAGAGAGAGGCTTGGAAGAACGTTTACTGGAACGCACTGTGTATCTTGAATTGTATTTTTATGTAGTTTAGGAATCATTATAGGTATGGTAAATCAATTTGAACTTAATTGTTAAGAAAATCAAAAATATTTCAAATTGACATTATAGCTCATTCCTCCATGGCACCGGATCCCACCTCTGATGTCTTAGAGGTCCGTATTTGTTCTGCTCCTATTCTGTAATGTTTAATGGACTTTTGAGCTCGAATACTGTTCGTTATTTCCATATATTTCATCATAAAGAATTTCCTCCTCAGAAAGGGATCCATGAGTATAAGTTGGATTACCGGTTGCAGAATTAAGTTCTTTTAAAATACAATTAAAATGAGACTTACAGACAAAGACAATATTATTTTCGCTTTGTCAGCTGGGAACAGTATATATTGATCGTATAATCTAATTCTTTTTTCACCTGAATCATTGAAGACAAATGGATGGATGACTTTCATACTGCCCCTCAACCGTTCAATGCGAGATTTCAACATCCATCTGTTACTTTTATTCCATTCTGACAGATTCGGTGTCTTCTTTTTTCATGTTTGGTCCCTCGCCTGGAGTAATTTTCCGCAGAATTCATATTTATGAAATTTTGACGCCAGTTGAAATACCTAAAGTTTGGCTTTTTAATAAGTGATTTAAGGTCCTCATTATTAACTATATTTACGTCACCAGTAATGTCGTGTCCAGCAGGACAATTCTGGTAGGTAGAAGAACATGATCTCGTAGGATGATTTTGTTTCAGATGTGTGGATATTTAGGCACTGTACGTTTCTTTATAATAACAAGTTTGGAAACAAAAGTCGTTGAATATTTGTAAGAAAACAAAATGCATGTGGACTTCATGGAGCAACTTAAGATATGGAGAAATTAAAGACTGGACCCTTTTGTGTTTAAGAATATTACTAATATTTACTGCGTCCATTCATTGTTGGCATATTTAAGTTAAAGGAAAGCAGAATGCTTTTCCGTGACACGCGGTGGTTTTTACAACATGTGATTTGCAAAATCCATAATCACAGATTCGAGCCTGTATTCTGGTGTCGAAGTATCCAAATGTGTACATTCCTTGCAACTGGCCTTTTCAAATAAACAATTTAAGCTTTCAAAGGGACAGCTTGGTGCAAATGTGATGAAGAACCAACTTTTTTTTTTTTACAAAAGGTAGTAGTGAATCAAAAGAGACATGACCGATGTCCATGACTACGCGTACGTCTCTATATATAATCAACAATTCCCATCACATTCACATTGTAACACTGTGGACTTGAAAGTTTCCCAACACTATCGACATTGCTACCATATGGAAAGGTCGTGCCTAGTTTTCTTATCCAGTATTCTTCTAGTTGTTTCTACGGAAATGTGTACTCAATGATGGGCTGTTAGTATGATGGTTATTTATTTTCCCCTGAATTCTAACTTTCGTTGACAAAATTATTGATCAGGTAGATTAAAGTGGTTGTAGAGACACTGCTGTCCACCTTTTATTTAAAATCTATGCCTCGGAATTCTTCTGTTGAATGAACCCTTGGTTTCACCAATATAAATAAGCCTACAAAATGTACATTCTATTCAGTAGACAACATTGAAGATTTGCAGTTCAGTTTTGGTATAGAAACTTTGTAAAAAAAGAAGAACAACTTAAAATCAAAACAGCACAGGTTTTTCAGCCTTTAGCAGAACATTTATATATAGATGACATGGGATAGGAAAAGGATTCAAATACATTCATTCAATTTTTTGTAGGAATTGTGGTTTTTATACCAAAACTGGGATTCTGAAAACTGCACATATGTATGACATATGTTTAATACCCCCGGAGGATTATCCGAGGGACATAAATGGGACTCTTTGAGTCTGTGTCCCTTATAGACTTAAAAGAGCATTTTTTTTAGTCTGAATTATAATAATCAAATTTATTACTATACGAGTCAAAACTATCTAAAATTTAAATTTGCGATAGCACGAAGAATTTAGTAATGTACTAAAATACATGTAAAAATACATATAATTATGTATTGTCTATAGTCATATCTCTTTAAAAGGAGATGAATTTAGATGATAAGGGTCAAACTAAGCAAATGTAAATAAAACTGAAGTTTTTTTAAAGGAACGATTGTTATAGCATTTAAGATATAAATACATGTATATTCCAAGACTGGTCAACTATTTATTATTAGGTTATGCTTTTTTCTGCAAAGGAAATCAACCACGGACAGTAAGATTTATAATAAAATGTGACAATCAATGAGAAATATGATTAATCAACCCTCAAAGCAAAATCTAATACTGAAAAAGAAATCATAAGAAATCTGTTCATACATGTTTTCCTTATAAAAGATCTAAGTCAATCAGTCGACTTTACTGCAGTTGTCAGTCTACAACTTTATTTGAAATACAATTCATTTCAGTATGCCATATTTTCATCAGTTTGTTTGGTACTGCACATCGTGCGGTTTGAAACTACAGTACCAAGAGCTGATTATTGATGTGCTACTTGAGAGATATTAAAGCACTAAATCTCAAAATAGTTCAAAAGTAAAGTTTCAGAAAAACAGACTCCGGGTAAAGTGATAACGAAATGTCACTCTGCTCTGCAGAAAGTAATTAAGTACATTGGAAGTTTTGACATATAATATAACAACAACACAATTATCAATACTTTAATATGATTTTTTTTCTCTTGAAATACCGATAATTATTTAATCTAGTTTCAATGTATTGAATGAATACTGAAAATAATTATGAAAGAAGCCTCCATCATCATTTTTATTTATTTTTTTTTTCATCTAGAACTGTTAACCAAAGAAAGTCTAACATTATATTAAAGGATTCAGAAACACTAATCAATTTCCTTCAATTTTTTTTTCATCCAGCATATCAGTATATGTTTTTTCATTTTAATCTTTAAAAAGAACTGTAATTTAGATTTCACGTTGAAGAGATTGATTGCAGTGCAAAACATGAACGCTAAATGTGAAATGAACGAAATGATATGTAACGCACGATAGTGATCAAATCTATTGTTTATAAATATTGCAAGCATTCCTTGATTTTATTAAGTGAATGCATTTTAACCTCAATAAATGATCCAAAATGGAGTGGTTATTCTTTCTTATATTTTCAAGAATTTTTCTTTTAACTTGATTATTTCATATATGTTACACGTAAATGTCAAAAATTTGCTATATTAATGAAATTTTGTTTTAAATGCAAACTAACACTTAATTACAAACTTTTTGAAATAGATATATTAATATAGTTATCAGGAATAAAAACATTGTCCCATGTGGTTTTTTGATCAAGAAATGTTAATTGCATCGTTAAATGAGAGATCCGTCAGAATGACGAATATCCTGACCACGACAGAGTAAATTAAGCTATCCCTCAATTAACTAGGGACCTATATTTGAAATAGAATTATTAATTAAATTATCATGTACAAAAGGGGAATTTTGTAGACCTGTATAAGCTCTATCGATCAAAAATTGTTAATTAAACCGTAAAATGAATTGTTGTTTTAAAAGACACGTCTAATGGACTTCCTGATTAGGACATAACAAGCTTACTTTTTTCTCACTCTAAAAGAAAGTAGATTGCACATTTCGGAAATTGGTTCTGTTCAGTGATGTTTGACACACATTAAAAGTAAAGGGAGAATAAAGTTTTAAATTTAATTACGTAAATTACAGGTCTTTGTAAAAAAAAAAAATAGGTAACCCTATTCTCTGGATGCTTCAGATAAGAAACTCGAAATACTATAAATAAACTGGCATTTAGAAAGAGTCGTCTATTATCAAAAGTAAAGAGAATATCAAAATAATTTCTTTTTCTACTTCATCATAACAGCAAATTCAATCTTGTAGATCATGATTTAACAACCTGCATTATTTATTATACTTCAAAAACAAATTCATTCATAGAATTAAGGAAAAAATATAGTTTTTGTAAAAGTAATAGAGTTAAATGACTTTAAGTTCTTCTTTTAAAAATATAATTGTATGTAGTTTCAAGTAAAGAAATGTATGGTGTCCATTAAAGTGTTGCTTCATTTTTTTCCTAAATGTATATCAACACATTATTACTTAATGAAAAAATATATCCTTTCACTTTTACTTTGTCACTTTCACTTTTAAACCTGTATCCTCTGTAGTACAGAGTTTTGCCTTGAACTTAAATACCCTTAAATATGTACAGAAGAAATCAAATATGCGTGTCACGTAGTATTTAACTAGGGAAAAGGACAATATCTCAAAATTGTTATTATCTATAAAATGATTAATGATGACGTACACTAAATTATTCTAAATTATTATTAAAGGCTTTGTCTAAAAGGAAAATTTGATATGCATAATTAAACCGTATCCGTATAAATACAGATTTTCTGGTCTATATGAAAGAACACTGTTAGTAGACACACAGAGATTCTCAAAATGCTGCGACTGTTTCTGATCCTAGCTTTGTGCTTAACTGCTGTGATGTCTCAAAGTAAGTGTAGTTCTTTTAGATCTACAGATTGCCTAATTTTTGATTTGCATTTACAATTTGTTCAATTTAGAAAACAAAATAACCTTTGGTATAATTTGATATTAAATAATAAATTAACAAAATAGTTCTCTTTTTTTTATATATCATAAGAGTTTACGTTTGTGTATATATAAAGATAAAAGTAAATTATTTGTAATGTTTTTGTAGGAGTTTAGTTATTAGGTTATGAGATTGTCATTCTCATCATATTTAAGACTAATCATATTGCATGATATAATTTATTTTTATTTAAATCTATATGCAAAGAAAATGGCAATTTTATGTGTTTTTAAAATGTGAAGTGAACAAATTTACATTAGTCTCTCTTTATATTTAAAGTGTTCGGAAGAAGATGGGGCAATAACGACTGGTGGAACAATAACGGATGGAACAACAATGGATGGTGGGGAAACAATGATTGGTGGAACAATAATAACGGATGGTGGGGAAACAATGACTGGTGGAACAACAATAACGGATGGGGATGGAACAATTAACTGGTGAAAGCCTAAATTGAAGCAGCTATCGTGGAAAAGAACTAGTTGTGAAAAAAGACCTTGCTAGAACAGTCATATCAAGGGGTCTAATGAGTGGACTATAATTATCGGTATTCTATTAAAGTGGAACAGTGGTGTTTTTTTTTTCCGGAAATAAAATATTAAAAATGCCTAATCTGTGTTTGTAACGAAAGTATATAGAAAAATATATGTGTATTTCCTGATATTGTGCCAAATCTCTTAAATGTTTTTCACTTTATCAGAGTTTCAAATTTTCCCCTTCTATTTCATCTTCATATTCTTTCTTTTTATCATGCATAGTTACGCTATTTTGAGAGAATAAGACCTTGTTCGATTTACTACTATGTCGTAATTAATTAGCAACAATTCGTTCAATTATGTAAATCGCCGACTACACCCGATAGACCAGAGGAATTACATAGGGGCCAAAATTCCACGTTACACCAGGTTTTTTGAAATTTGTTTATGCAAAACTTACAATAGTTTTCCCATCTTTGTTCAAATCAATGTTCAAAATCCATGTAATCAAAATGCAAAGAAATGGCTTTTTTCACAAGCCCTATGGTTTATGAAGTATCGTCCCTCTTAATATATATCATGCTTGGTGGTAATTAAGAAGAAAAATTGGGGAAACGATGTCTTCTTGAGCTATTAAGTTATAATAAGTTCAAGAATTAAAACTATAATTTGAATCTTATCTATATTTTTGAAAAAATTCCAAGGCTATAATGGGTTTTTTTCTTAACAAAAGATTTTAAACAAATCTGTCATTTTAAAATTCCGTTTGAGGCTAAAATAACGGAGGATATGCATAAAAGGCAAATTGAAATACATCAATATTTAGTACAAATCGGAATTTTGTTTCAATTTCTTGTGCAATTTGATATTTATTTTAACATAATTCTGTGAAATATCTCTAAAAAGCGTTGAAGGTGGGGGGGGGGGGGGAGAGAGAGAGAGAGAGAGACTTAGGCCTTACTTAATGTACTTAAAGTATTATTCTAAAAGATTTGTAAAAATCTTATTATATACTGTAATAAAATTAACAAAAGCTGAAATACAATTGGATCTCTCACATTTGCAAACCTCCATGTTAAAAATGACAACATACTGGACTCTTCGTGTGTGGTTGCTTGTGAACTTGTGAACGATGAGATGCTTAGCTATTTTTTCTTTTAATGAATTCAATGAATTTCACATTTTGGTATGTAAATGACGATATCAAAAATTGAATATTTTGCATTGACAAAAAAATAAATAACTACCTAAAACCGTCTTTATCTTACGTAGCCATAATAATGCCGTATAGGGGTGCTGTGTTTTATGCAGGAAATGAAAGACAAATTTTATGGTATACTTCACATGGAAAACATACTGAATAATGTATGTATTGGATAATGGGACATTACTAAAATCAAAACCAGTTCATACTGGTTATATTAGCTCTAATTGATTGACAGGTATGAATTTGACGTGACATAGTCCTTGTACAAAATTAAGTCTGTATAATTAAATAAATTTTAGTGCTACATATCATGAGGTAGGAATAAATACAAATAACTAAGACATTAAGCTATTTACCCATGTGATTTTAAATCTTCTTAATCCAAGTAAAAAAGTAATGTTTAATATCAAACAGGATAATTATATCTTGTTACGCACTCCTAGCAACTAAAAATTAACCTATTAAAGGTCTCTCTTCCGGAACAAGTAAAGGGATTTTCCAAGACAGTTACTTTCTTTTCTGGACAAAAGGCCAACAGTTTCTTCATATTTCTTATTCAACATCATCCCAAGTAATCAGACAATGCATATCCCTTCCATCTTTAAAATCTTTACGTGCATAAAGAAGCGTATGAAAAATAAATCTGTACTGTTTTCAGGACAAGTTTATCTGTAGGAGATTTCCTCAAATATTGTCTCGACTGTCACATTAGAGATCGAGATCACATATGTGGTCGTCAATTCTACAAAATCACATACATGTATATAATGACCTTTGATAGCTGTAAAACAGGAAAAATATTATCTCTTGCTTATGATGTGTTCAGTACATTATTTCACACAAATGATGAAAAACAGAGACATATTTTGTTTAAAAATTTAATTTAGGATAATGTAATTTATTTTTTTTTATCATTACAAATAATCATAAACTTTTCCATTGTGAATTTAATTTGTTAACATTGTCTTTTAGCATATACATGATAGGAAAACTCCTGATGTTGTCCAGCAAATCATACCTCCTAAAAAAGAAAGAAAAAAATGTTTCTTCACTGCTCGTTATCTCCACCTTTTTTATTTGAAAAAAAAATCTTTTAAGAATGAAAAGCAAACTGATCGATGATTAGCATGTTGAATACATTTTTAAAACTTTTGATTGAAGTTCATTGTTCATTTGAATCCCTTTAAATTTTATTTTTGAATACTGACAATCCCTTTTGCTATCACTTTCCAATGCAATTAGCAATGTATATATATATATACAAAGCACTAAAATGACCAACGTCACGAACGATAGAAATTGTCAAATTTTCTCATACAATCAGGTATAAAATATATTGACGTTTACAGTTATGATCTATTCATTTAAAATTAACACATGTATATAACACTTGTAGTTATATTTATATTTAACTATATCCGTAGGAACCAGGTAAGGGAAGTTGACGATATAAGGGTATCAATGATCTAATATACAGTCTACATCTTGCAAATTCTATGGTCGATACAATGACGTTGTTTACAAAAACAGTCTGTCGTTAGGTTTGTTTATTTTGACGCATTTCATATAAAAAGATGGGTCATTTTTTTCCTACTGAATTGACTGTGTGTTTCTCCATTTACCCGATCATGATAAAGGGTACGCGTCGGGTGTGACCTCTCGACAGGGAAAGAGTACTTCTCCACGGCATCTGATCCCACCTCTGATGTTTTAAAAGTTTGCTCTGCTGACAATTTGTATTTTTTTTATTTAACTCTTCAACATGATTTCGTTGTCTTCACTTTTCATGAAAAAGTTGAAGTCATCTCGTTTCTCATACAGTTTAGCTGTAAGTTGGTCATTATCGTCTATAGTCAGTAAACGCTGAAATATGAAACAATGTTGTGGACTCTGTGGTATCTTTTATTTCAAGCTCACTAGGATATCGAGTCAACATATGAATGAAAGTAATTGTTAATTGATAAAACGTCGTCGATATACATGTATCTGAATGTTGAGTTAAAACCCACAGCAGGATTTTTCTTGTTCTCATGTAGAAGCATTTGAATAAAGTCTGCTTCATAGGATTTTAAAAACAGGTCTGTTAATAAAGGAGCACAATAAAGTCCCATCGAAATTTTAAAAGACTGTTGGAGAATAGGCCTCCAAAGACTACAGAGATCTTGTGAAAGTGGAACTAAGGCATATTTTTAACATCAACCTCAGAGTAATTGTTTGAAGAATCAGCCTTTTTTTTTTAACAAATTAATTGTACATGTAAAATGACAAGTCAGGGGACAGGAAAATTCCCAAATTTTCATTTTTCTTGAAGATGCCGTTCTATGATATCAAAACACATAATCTTTAATTTATCACAAGGAAAAGCTATATAAAGTGTGGAAAAATTAGACGTTTTGGTGTTACTGACTTTGGGAAAAAAACTTGTGATTTCAATTTTTTTTAAAAATATAAAAGTTTTTAAAAAATCCATAATTTATATGATTTACACAATTTCACGAATATGTTGAAGCGTAGTGCGTCTAAGGTTATGCCTTCACAGCTGTTAATATTTTTGTGAGAAGTAAAAATAAGGGATTGGTAGGGCATTTGCTGGAACCTGCATGTACCTTGTTTGTAAGGACTTTCCTGAAGTTTAAGAATCCGGCACAGATAGGATAAATCAAATCCCCTGCCTGTCGTAATGTTGAAGTATTTGAATAGAGTCTGCTTCATAGGATTATAAAAACAGGTCTTTTGATAAAGGAGCATGGTTAAGACCATTTAAGGACTGAAGCGTGTTTCTGAGGAATTTCATCCTTAGAGAGTGAACCTTGGAGTATAACTTTGATTTTCGAAAACAAATTAAATCTAAGTTCTAGAAGATCGCAAACGAGATGGGCTTGAAATGTGTAGGTAAATCAAAGTTATGCAAGGATATAAATTCTGCTGTTTTACAGATCTATATCATAATCAGTGGATTAGGTATCAAACATAAAGTCAAACTGGTTATCTTTGTCGTATGTTCATGTGTATATACAGCTGTATAATCGATTCAGGAAAAAAAATCCTACGCATCCTGTCCCAGTTTTGGAGAAAAAATAAACTCATACATTTTTATCCTAGGCGACAGTTAATTATATCATAATAAACACCTGGAAAGGGGGGATAAAGAGGTATAGATTGTCAATCTATTACAATATGTAGTTCATCTTTATATATCTAAAAACCTTTGTCAAAGATGACCATGAAAAAAGATGTAAATGTGTACTGAACATCAATTGTATTTTTGGGTGCTATATGTTTCCTGATTTCAGTTCGATCTTAATATTATGCTAGAAGAAATTAAAATTTTGAAACTGATTTAAATACATGTATATTAATATTTACATGTATATATAAATCATATATAACAACTTTCAGATCGAAAACTGTAGTTTGGGTTCAGTATTCAACAGGGTCAACTTTCATCGCGTTTATGTCCTAAGTGTCGACATAATAAATTAACAAGATGTAGAAAATGACCCTAGGTATAAATTCCACGACTTTTAGTCTCAATTTTCAACCTTGAAAAGTCACCCCTGTTTAAATATTCAACGTTGAAAAATGAACCCCTGGTCAATTTTCAACCCGGGTTCTGTATTTGCTAATATTAAGAGTAGTGTATATCCTACAATGATTACTTACGATATGCACTGAAATCTATTATAATTATTTCTTTTTAAAGATGATTAAGAAATAAGGTATCATTTTTAAACATCTATCGGGCTTTATGGAATTTGATTTCGTGACCAACCCGTATTTATAGCCCGATAAATGTTTTAAAATGATACCTTATTACACTGTACTTATATTTACATTTGTGACTTATTCATATTTTATATTTGACTGATTATAATCTTTAACGCCTGAAACGTTTTATTTTTCAAACCCAACGGCACGTGTTTGATCCA